TGATCCTGACCAGTGGTATGCTGGGAAATGTTTAACAGCCAGCATTTAGCAGGATTCGGTAGAGCTCTGATTTGTAGCATTTGCCAGTTGCTGTGGTATAAATACTCCCACCATGCCGATTTCAAGCCTGCAACATGACATCAGGCCGCCCACCATTTAACAATTGGCCAGCTCCAGCACATGCAGATCCTGATTCTGGGGAGTGAAACAGTCCCGGGTTTCAGTATGAGCTCTCTTGCTTACTAGCTGTGTGGCCTTGAGCAGGTTATTTAACGGCTCTGAGCCTGGCTCACAAAAGGCATCAGGATGCTCGTTTTCTTCCCTCTTGGTTGCCCGAATAGGAAAGTACGTTTGTCATGTCACTTTCTTGCCCCTTCTCCTGGGTGGAGACGGGGACGGGAGACAGTGCATTATACTTAGAGAGGCAGTGGATGCAGCTGCCTTATACTTTTCTGGGAATATTTCCAAGAAGAGACTGGACTTTTTTTAAATGTGGGAAGACAGAGGGAAGTTTGACAGATGGAAGGGGAAGAATTGCTGTCTAAAAGGAACTCAGTTTGGGAGAAATACAAAATAGGAATTTGAAGAGCAGATGGTGGAGATCCCCCAAATGTTAGCTTCCCAGGGAGGGAGGGGAGGGGTGCAGGGTTGAAAGAGGAAGATGTTGGTCCTTGATGTGCAGACCCCAACAGATAACCAGCTAAGCCTGTGTCTTGTTTGGGGCACCTCTGGGGGCCCAGCCCACTGGGGTACAATGCCATAGAAGTTAGGTGAGCATGCAAGTGTCAGGATATGGCTGTGGCCACATCCACATCTCTTCACTGCTGGTTCAGTTTCCTCATCTGTAATAATGGGGATAAGAAACCTGGCAGGAAAAGGCTACCATAAAGAGCTCAAGAGATGGCAGAAAGAGAACTGGGGGACAGCGAAGGGTGGGGTGTGAAGAAGGACAGAGCAGATCCCATTCCCAACTGTCACACAGAGGCAGGAGGAGAGGCACAGAAGCAGTCCTCCGAATGCTGCACGGTCTTAGCAACAGCTCTCCACTGGGGCTGATTTGGGAGGAAAGCGGTGGCGGGAGAGTGAGGAGAGCAAGTGGCCTGCCTTCTGGAAGCTTGGAGAAGATGAGATAAGGAGAGGAAGGACAGCTTCAGGAGAGGATGCAGGGCCCAGGGCCTATGCTGTGTAAATGGGAGAACCTTGACCCTGGCCACCCACTGATGGGAACAAGCTGGGAAGAAGGAGCTGGGGAGAAAGAGGCAGGAAGCTGGGATCTGGGGGCTGCATACAGCTGACTCTTCCCACTGCTGTCCTGCTCCATGCTTAGGTACCTCTTCTTCAAGTGTGTTTCTAATATATGAGTTGATGGGGCTGAGCTGTGCTCTTGGCAGATGGCTGGGCCTGTACCTCCCATTCTGCAAAACACAGGGGCAGTTGGTGACTGTTTCTAGGCACTCCTGTGGCTCTCTGGAGCATGCCTTTCCCCACGTGCTGCGCTCTGCCTGCGGGGAGCTCTGGACGTTGTTTCCTCCTCCAGGTTCCCATCCTGGAGATGTGTCAGGGCTCCTGTAGGCTGGCGCCCTGATGCAGCTCCACCCTGGCCCAGCCCGGTCACAGCCTCCCTGCCTGGCCTGACCCCTTCCGTGGCACCTCCTGGCTCTCTCACCTCATCTGCTCCCTCCAAGTTCTAGGATCTCATCCCTCACGAGATGCCCTGTCACTGTGCTTCTCACTCGGTGGAGCACCCACATTCACAAGTTGTGCTTAGTGCCCCAACTGGCCGTGACCCCTGGGCATTGAAACCACCAAACAGGACGTTCCCTGATGACTGCCCTTCTGGCCCTGTGCCATCAATCATAAGGTGTGGCCATTCCATTTCTGGAACCTGAGACCCCAGGGCTGGGGATCAGCGTCCAAAAGCCCTCTCTCCAAGCCTTTCCCAGGGGAGTTGTTCTTCCCCAGCCCCCAGCCACAAGGGGCTCTGGCCCCATGACTTCCCAGCCAGCTGCACTGCACTAAGGTCAGCTCAGTGGGAATGTTGCCAGCCCTGCCTTCTGGTCTGCACCAGGGAAAGGGATCTGTGAAGGTCACTGCTGAGAACTTGTCACAGTCAAACGTGAAGTGTATAACAATTTCCAGTCTGATATTCAAAATGCAGAAAATGATGGAGCTGGAAGTGGAAGGAAACCGTGGATGCTCCCAGGCCTGTCCAGGAATTTCACTGAGGGCCTCCACAGCCGGTTCCTGTGTGTTTGGCTCTTACCTAGGAGAATACATTGACTTTTGAGTTGACTTCAGACAAGACGGAAATTTTCTAAGTGAGCCACTGCAGCGAAGGCTGAGGCAGGAGAATCGCTTGAACCTGGTGGGTAGAGGTTGCTGTAAGTGGAGATTGTGCCAGTGCACTCCAGCCTAGGTGACAGAGTGAGACTCTTGTCTCAAAAAGAAGAAGAGGATAAAGAAAAAGAGGAAGAAGAAAAAGAAGAAGAGAAGAAGAAGAGGTGGAAGAGGAGGAGGAGGAGGAGGAAGGGGAGGAGGAGGAGGAGGAGGAGGAAGAGGAGAAAGAGGAGGAAAGAAACTCTGTCTCTACAAAAAAGTTAAAATATAAAAGATAGCCGGGCTCACTGGCCTGTGGTCCCAGCTATAAGAGATTGGAGGATCACTTGAGCACTTGAGCACAGGAGGTTGAGGCTGCACTGAGCGATGATTATACCTCTGCCCTCCAGCGTGGGCAACAGAGTAAAAAAAAAACAAAAAAAAAAAACTGTGGCTGGGCATGGTGGCTCACGTGTAATCCCAGCTCTTTGGGAGGTCAAGGCGGGCAGATACTGAGGTCAGGAGATCGAGACTAGCCTGACCAACATGGCAAAACCTGATCTCTACTAAAAATATAAAAATTAGCCAGGTGTGGTGGCAGGTGCCTGTAATCCCAGCTACTTGAAAGGCTGAGGCAGGAGAACTGCTTGAATCCAGGAGGCAGAGGTTGTAGTGAGCCGAGATCACGCCACTGCACTCCAGCTGGAGTGACAGAGAGTGAGACTCCATCTCAAAGAAAAAAAAATGTAATTGCACATTCTCTGCCCTCCACAACCTACATCACATTACTCCTAAGGGGAGTTCTCCTCCCTGCTGCAGCCTAACAGACAATGTGAGCACTAAAATGTTCACTGACCAACCCTGTGCAGCCACTGCAGGCACATGTGAGATGCCTCGTGTGTAACACAAGTGAGGCAGGACACAGGTCACGTTCAGAACTTTCTAGAGAAGCAAAAGGAGAGTTGCCTTGAGTGCTCTTCAGATGTTTTCCAGATTGATTTCCATGGAGAACTTGGGATCGTGTTGCCCTGTTTGTTTCCAGTCTCCATGGTTGTTATTACTATGAAAGTGACACATGCCAGTTAACAGGTTTTGTTATTGCACCATACTGTTCTGCAAGCTAAGACTCTGAGCATTACTTGACGTGATGGAAGGAGGGGTCTTTGTGAGACAGGCGAGGCAGAGCACTCTCGGTGCTTGGAGAGTGTCACATGGCAGAGGACTGGATTCTCCTTGGGGGTTTGGAGAGTTGTGGGGAGGGGGCATGTGCTGGGGAGAGACAAGCCGAAGCCTGGTGGTCTGGGGAAGTTTAATTGGTCTCTTGATGAATGGGGCTTCTGGATCTGATCTTTGAGCTTAAGAGAGACGATGACTGGGTAACTGATTTCAACCTGGAAGAACGTTGTGGGGGAATTGTGCTCAGTGAGAGGGTAGGGTTTTTGTAAGGATTCATTGCCAGTGGGACAGCATTCAGGCCTCCTGTTGCATTTACTGACATTTAGTTGTGAAATTTTGCAAGAAAAGACCAACGAAAGAGGCCCCAGATGGACTGTGTGGAGCATGGAGAGTTGGGGGCTGGTGATGGAATCTGGCTTGAGTGGAGATTGTATGACAGCGCTCGAATAATCACTGGCTGTTCATGGGTGGATTTGGAGAGGCTTCAGTAACGATGGATTGTGTTTCATTTGGTTTAGCTGCAAATATCAAGTAGTCAGAGTTGGATATAAAATTACTCCATGGCAATAGGAGTATGATTTGGGATTAGACACATTCAAACTGTCTGAATATTTGCCCGTTGTGGAATGAAATGCAGGGAATAAAATGCAGAGGCTTTGGAAACCTCGGAAAACCAGTGAGGGGAAGAGGCAACCAAAGCCCAAGTGATGCCGCTGTTGAACCCAGAGTGCAACCAGAGAGGGATGGGGCCTCACAAGTCAAGGCCTCAGGGCACTTGAGCAGCAATCGGTTGGAGAAAGCAACGGGGATTGTGGTGAGGCCAGTGGAGACCAGAGTGGGTGAGAGAGGCAGCCTGTGAAACAGGCAGGATATCCCAGTGTCCTGGATCTTGGTGGCCTTGGGTGGCAGGTGGGGGAGAAGCTAAATGGAAGAAGGTTCAGGAAAGGGCCTCTTGGGACTTTGAGTGAAGTGAGGAAAAGGCAGAAGTGTGATTCCGGCACCTTCTCAGAGGAGAACAGTGTGGAATTCAGGGCAATGAGTAAACCCTCGGTCTTCACTATTGACGAAATAGTGAATTGTGGATTCCTTTTGTGGGCTCCTCTGGGAGCACAGGCTGCTGGTGACAGGGACACCAATGCTGGCCATACATCTGTGTGCCACAAGGATTACATGATTCCTTAAGATGGAACCCACAAAGACCTGCTTACAGCAGATGTGGCGGCCCCACCTCTCAGCCCCCTAGCAAAACACACCGGGCTCGCTATCACCCTTGAGCCACTGAGCTCCCAAAAATGGCAAATGGGGTTGTCAAAACAAAAGCTCCATCTCCCAAGCCATCAGTGTAGGGAGCAGCTGTGACCTCCAAGTTCGGTTCCTGATTCTGTGTTTCTTTCTCCCTCCTCCTTTAGATCGTGGTGTGTGTGGGCGTCTCCTCAGCTGGCAGCTTCTCTGTGCCCCGTGGTTGATGTCCAAGGTTTTGACTGTGTGGGTTTGTGTCTTTCCGGCAGGTGTCTCCTCTGTGACTTCCCTGATGTCCCTGGCTTGGGTGCTAGCCTCCTATCACAAGCTGCTGCGGGACTCCAGGGACGACAAGAAGAGCATGAGCTACAGAGGGGCCCTCATCCACCTCTTCTGGCGCCTCTTCACCATCTCATCCCGAGTGATCTCTTTTGCCCTCTTTGCTTCCATCTTCCAGCTCTATTTTGGGATCTTCGTGGTGGTTCACTGGTGCGCCATGGCCTTCTGGATCATCCATGGCGGAACAGACTTCTGCATGTCCAAGTGGGAGGAGATCCTCTTCAACATGGTGGTAGGGATTGTGTACATTTTCTGCTGGTTTAACGTCAAGGAAGGGCGGACTCGATATCGAATGTTTGCATATTATACAATAGTCCTGACCGAGAATGCTGCCTTGACGTTCCTTTGGTATTTTTATAGAGACCCGGAGACCACTGACTCCTATGCGGTGCCAGCACTGTGTTGTGTCTTTATTAGCTTTGTGGCCGGGATCGCACTGATGCTCTTATACTACGGTGTGCTGCATCCCATGGGGCCACGAGTTAAGATCCTTGCCAGCTCCTGTTGTGCCGAGCTGCTCTGGGGCATCCCTTTGCCCCCCGATGTTGAGCCCATGGCGCCTCAGACCCCTGGGTACCAGGGGACCCAGGTTACGCCCACCAGAGCCGTAACGGAACAACAGGAGGATCTCACGGCTGACACTTGCTTGCCCGTTTTCCAAGTGAGACCCATGGGGCCCCCTACCCCGTTGGGGCGTCCTTACCCCCCAGAAGGGCCCCTCATTAAGATTGACATGCCAAGAAAGCGATACCCAGCTTGGGATGCTCATTTTGTAGACAGAAGGCTAAGAAGGACTATTAACATTCTGCAGTATGTCACCCCCACCGCTGTAGGCATTCGATATCGAGACGGACCACTCCTCTATGAGTTGCTACAGTATGAGTCTTCACTCTAAGAGCATCTTGACCCAAGTTGAGAAGGGGACCTTAAGTTTGGTTTGCGGTAAACACCGCTTGCAAGAAATATAACCCTCCCTTCCCCCAGTACACAGAACCACCACCACCACCACCACCACCACCACCGCCACACCAACACCACCACTACAAAAAAAATTAATAAGTCACAACCCCTTCAAATAAGCTTTCTTTCCAGTCGCTGTATGTATACAAAGATATTCTCTATGTTTTGTAAGTAAAAACAAGAAGAAAACCTTTCTTTTGTTTTTTACACATAAGAAACAGTATTGAAAAATCCCACGCTATGGTTCATAGAGTGGAGAAGGAGGAGTTGTCTCCACTCCAAAAGAAAAAAAAAGTTTTTTACCTTACACCAAGTGTAGATCATTTATGGGATTGGTGCTGATTGAAAGAACAAAACAAAACAAAACAAAAACACAAACAAACAGAAACCTTCAACTGCCTTATGCCCTTAGGTGCTGAGTTTCATTAAGTACTGTCACGTTTTCTCATGCAGAACTCTCTGGTGATTTTTGCACCACGAGAGGGAAAATTAAACAATTAAATGAAACAAATCTAAAAGCATAACAAAAACCAACTAACAAATACAACATAAAGCAATTACTCTTCCTATCTGATTATTTGTATTGAAGAAAACAAATTTACCAAAAGCAAACACATAAAACCCTCCCTCTTATTCAGTTTCTCCCTCCTCTCCTGACCTCCCCACTTCGCAGAGCCTTCTAGGAGCTCAAGGGCTGTTTGAAACTCAAATGGCTGGAGAAGCTACTTGAAGGCTGACTATGTGCCATTTTAACATTTGCCTAGCAAGAATCCATTTGTTTCCAGTGAAAAGCAAACCAGAACAAAACAAAAAGCCACCCCAATAATTCGGTAAGGACAGGACATTCTGAAGCCAATCAAAGTAGATTTCTATATACATAATCAGTAATAATAAAACTCAGCATAGTAGCAAAAAGAACGACATCAATTTAAAGGCACAATACCTAATCAGTGACTGGCAACAACAATGAGTTCCATCATTTTAAGGCTGTGAATGGTAGACGTTTATCACATGTGATATTATGTAAAAGCCTCTTCTGTTTCCATTTGGTGGGAAGCCTTAAATTGATCTGGAAAGAATTCTTCATTTTTCATTTGTGCTTTTTTTTAAAAAAAAATAACACAAAGAGGAAAACTAGAACATATATATATATATATATATACATATATATAAAAAGTCAAAATTGTAATAACTGACCCATTTCAAAGACTGTTTGGTGCTTCTGTCTTTCACCATTGTAGTTGGCTGAAAATCATTCAGCTCACCTGGTGCATCTGGGTTGAATGGGAAATTTTGTGTGTGTAGTATGTGTGTGTTTGTGTGTGTGTGTGTGTGTGTGCCCATAGCACACATATATATGTGTGTGTCCCTGCTGCGAGGTCTTGCCAGAGATATAAAACACTGATGTAAGACGGACTTGGATTATGGCTTGGTTCAGCAGAGCATGGGGGCGGGGTCTCTGGAGTTGTCGGGGGGATGCCTCCTGCCCATGAGCCCTGGTTTGGGTGGTGAGGCTGACACCAGCAGCGGACTCCAGGCCTTAGAGGCCATGCTGTTTGGGTGAGGATTCGATTCGGCTGTTTGTTTTCTCATTGTATCAAGTTGAATTTCTGCAGGTGTTGCAAGTATGTTCAATCATTTTTAAAAGTTTTATTTTTGAAAGTATTGTTACTTTAAAGAATATTTGTGTTCTAGGGCATCGTTACAATCCCATCGTGTCTCTACTTGGGCACAAAAAAAAAAAAAGGAAAAGAAAAAAATCACAAAAAAGATATATATATAAGTATATATATATATAGACTCACACACAATATTTTTAAGTAAATACTGTTAGTCTTTGCTGTGTGTAGCTGCGATTTTTCCCCCCAAATATATCTGTTTAGGGTGCAACACCTCACATTGAACTATTCTTAACAGATGTTCAATAACTGAGGGATTTTTTTTAATGTTTGTGGAGTTATTTTTATTTTTAAACAATTATTATTCAGTGAGGCTTCTCCTTCCCACCCCTTTCATTGTTTATCTAAAAGCTTTTTTTTTTTAAGAACAAGTTTCAAATACCAGTTGTGAAACTGAATGCTCTCTTCTTTGTCTGGACTTCTGGACTTCATGCGTCCTTACTAAGCATCGTGGTGTTGTCCTCTCCCATCCCTGCCTCGGGGGTTCCCTCAGGCCTCCCTGGTGGGCAGGAGGAGAAGGAGCCCCCATCTCTAGGAAGCAGGAAGAACAGAGCACACGCAGGCCAGGCGGCAGTGAAGACCAGCCAGGAGGATCCAGCATGCCCATCAACGGGACCCCCACGTGGGCTCCTGGAGAGTTACTTGGGAATTGGAATCTAGTCAGAGGCTCTTTTCCGACTGCCTCGCAAGGGCTTGATACCTGAGCTCCGTGGTGTACTCTGCTAGGCTGGGGAAGGTGAGGCCATTGGAGGGCGGGGCATCCGCTTTAGCTAGTGGGGTCCCACCTCTTGTCTGCCTTGGGTCTGGGGCTCTGTGCACCTGGAGCTGGCCCACACCTGTCGTTGGCGCATCTTCTTTGAAATGCTCTCATGTCTCCTCGGGACGTCTGCCACTTCTGCTTGTGTTTCTGTTCTTGGATTTCTTCCTTTCTTTTTGTTTCAGCACAGTCACAGGTTTTGATTTGCCACATCTCTTTCTCTCTTGCACACTTAGTGCATGTGTGGGCATCCTGCCATGTTTACATGAAACTTACAAAGAGAATGGTGGATGCTGAGCTGACCGTGAGCACCAGGATTTGGGATGGCAACTTCCAACTCAGGGAGGGCCTCCAGGGTCTTAGCTGCTAGGAAAAAATGAGAGACCACAGGACATTTCAGCAATCTTCATTTTCACACTTTGCTCTTGGAAAGGCATCCTCGCCCCTCCCTGGAATCCCTCCATCATGCCAGGGCTTTCTTTGCAAAGGAAATGAAAATATGTATCTGTGAGCAGCAGCAGGGAAAGGAAGGGAAAAAAGCAAGGAAAGTAGAGAGCAAGGCAGGGAAGGGGCAGGGGAGACCTGACAGCAAGGACCAGGCTGTCGCTGTGCTCTTACCATCATCCTCTAGCCGCTCCCCATGTTCCCAGCCACTGTGAAACTCTCTGGCATCATCTCACCTGGGCTCTTCTCTTCCCCACAGGCCCTTTCCCTTCCAGTGGCTGGCCCTGGGCGTCAAGGCAGGATTCCTACACACTGAGTGCTGAAACTGCCTGGTGACTATGTCTCCAGACCCAGATTACTTTGATCCTGAAAGCCGGGATACTTAAGGCTGCCCCATGGCAGGGTCACTCTGTCCCACCCTCGGCATCAGCATTTAATCTACCGTTTGTCTGAGTCCCTGACAACCCCTCAGGGCTGCTGCTTCAGCTGCTTCCCAGAGGAATGACCGTGATGTTTTTAGTTTTTTAAAAAAATTTTAAGTCTCTGGGCCCATTTCTTTCCCGGGACCCCCCTGATAAAAAATAATCAATTGCACTATTTAGGCCTAGTAAGCACGTTGGTGCCCAGAGATAGAGAATACAAAAGCGATCTCCTTTTCAATCCCTAATGACCCCGTATCAAGTATGTCCACTAAGCCCCACATTTTACTCCTATGACCACATAGAACATTTAGCTGTACTTTTTGTTCTCAGAAATTTGGTAGTATCGCCAAGCTATGACTGATGGTGTTAGAGTGTTTCTGCAAGCTCTGCTTCTCCCCTGCTCGGCAGGTCTGCCTCTTCTCCCAGCCTCTGTGAAAAAGAAAACTTCAGTCCCCTCAGATGATATTGGGGTGATGTCCCCTGAGCTCACGGCCTCAAACCTGTGACATCCAGATTGGGAGCTCCATGTCTCTTAAGGCTATAATGAGGGGTACTGGGGAGGCTTCAGGCTATCAGATCAGCTCCCACTGGCCTCACTCACCCCAAAGCTTCCCGTGTCTCCAACGCTCTCCTGCACTCTGCCTCTGGAAGGTGTCACCTGGTTCTGCAGGGTCAGGCCTATGCCAACAAGATGGGTACCAGGAATGAGATGGGTAGGACACTCACCCAAGCAGATCTGGGGCCAGAATGAAAGAGGACCCATCTCCCTTGCCCAGATATGTTGCCATCATAACACAGCCTTGGGCAGGGAAGATGACATTTCCCCATGGCCTGGGGATCCCCCACACCACACCTCCCCGGGTGCAGAATCATTCAAGACTTGATGATCCTCATGTCCCCAACCCAGTCCCTCTGCAGCCGTTCCCCCCTGAGTCCCAGGACCCTGTCTGGCCCATGGTCATGAAGGTGATTGTTCTTGCTGGGGGGTGTCTGACCCTGTCCAGATATAAACCTGATTCTCAGAAAGAAGAATTTACAGGTTTTTAAAAAGCACCAAATTACATCATTTTCTCCTTTCTTCCTCCAGTTTTTCCCCCACTGCAGAGAGGGGCAGAAGAGGAGGTCTCTGATGTGGATCTGGTTTGAAACTGCACTGGGCGGGCCACAGCCTTGCTTCTTCCTGTACATCTAAACAAGCCAGATAGAGGAAACACCACCTACCTTCTCTCCAGTTGGTCTGCTGCTTGCTCATGAGAGGGCTAGAACCAACCCCAAGCCTTGATTCCCTCAGACCTTAGCACAGTTTCTTCTCTGCATTATCCAGGGATAGAGCAAGAAGAGCACAACAGTGTGCAGGCTCAGAGCCTTTGGCTTGGAGCAAAGGATATCAGCTCCTAGAAGAGAATGACGCAGGCCATATTCTCATGCTCCTGGCTCACTCAGATGAGCTGGGCTGGGGACTGTCACCTACATTCGTTTGGCACAGATGGTAGCATTTTCTTTTCCAAGAAAAGTGGCTTCTTACTCAAAATGAGCTCTTCCAGCCCTTGTATGTCTGATGACAGCTGCTCTGGATGGTGGCTTCATGATTGAAGGAGGGGAATCTCCTTGTGTACCCTTAATTTGATTTTCTTACCAAGAAGCTAAAATCTATTCTTTCTTTGCCAAACTGAAAAATATTAACACAACCAGATTTGGTTGGGGAGGTTGAGATTTAAATTTGGATAGTGTAAAAGGAAGAGAGCTCATTGTAATTAATTTCACCAAGATCCACATGACACTCTCCAGTCAGGGAAATCTGGAGGAGCTTAAGGTAGACCCGGGGAAAACCCTGCAGGAGTGAAATGGAAGGATCCAGAGAGGTGGGCTCACCCCAGGGACTGGACCAGTCTTACAGGGAGCAGTTCTATTCATTTCACTCCCAAATATCGATTGGTCGCTAGACCCTGTTGGGCAGCCCTCCTCATGGAGCACAACACAGTTACCCCTTAGGAAGTGAACGTAAATCAATATTGGTTCCTCTTATCAAGGTCCAGCTGAGAACGAGATGAGCACAATGGGAACTTCTTTAAGCTTCCGTCTCTTTCTCCTCAGCCCAAACTGGTCACTGTCTTAGAAGCAACATTCCATTCTCACCCATGGTTCAACGTCCAGAACATGGAAGCGGCAGGGGCCAGCCAATCACAGGTTATAAACCCATGAGCTTGCAAGAGGATTCCTTCCAGCATCCTCAATCAATGTGTACCTTTCCCAATTTCAAAACATGTAAAAAGGTAAAAAGGCAACTCTACCCTCCCAGAGATTTTTTTTCTACGCCTCTTCACTGGGAAAAAAGATGATGCTTAATCTGAATTCTTGCAGTGGCAACACAAGCCCCTTTCTCACACCCATCCTTAGCTGTTCTAAACATTTCACTTCTTGCTTAAACACTGTATCTTGTGCTGTTGGCCAGCTATCAAGAGACCAGGGTGCTGCCTTGATCCTGCTGCAGCCTCCTTCCTTGGCTCGCCTTGTCCCGTCTGCCTTGTTCAGCTCTCCCTGGCACCATCTGCTCCTTACTCCTGTGGCTTTTCTTGCACTGGCTGGCAGGCCATAGCTGGTATGTCTTGGAGCCAAAGGTCGTGAGTGCTATTAATGACAGGTCCCGAGGGCAGCAGACGGACCACCGTGGGAGTTCCCCCTGCTCTTGGCCAACACCTTGTGTTGAGGGCTAAGAATAGACCGCGTCGGAAATGAGCAGGCAGGACCTAGGGACAACTGCCCCAGGCTGCCCCATCACATGGAGAACAGTGCATAGGTACCAGGAGGAGATGCTGGCCTCGTCAATCCCTAACAAAAATCCCAAGACCCCAACTCCAAAAAATCATTCTCAAACCAACGAGGACAAAGAAATAACTTCCCTTTAGTATAGTGTCAACTGGTAACCCAGTGAACTTCCTTGAATATGCAACGTTTGACCATCTGTCACGGCGGATACAGACAGCCCATTGTCTGTTACATGAGCTCCCCTGGTCTGCTTGTCCATCTTCAGCCTAGCACTGGGATCCTCAGGCCAGAGTGGGCTCAGGAGATTTGTTTTAGCTGCAGACTTCCTAGGGACTTTCCTTTAGACACAGAAAGATCAGGAAGTGTCACAGGTTGATTCAAGGTCCCCACTGTGATCATGGATAACTCACTTTACCTCTCGGTGCCTTGGCTTCTCCATCTGTAAAGTGGAGAGAAAGAAGGCCAATCTCTTCCTTCTCTCCTGCTCAGGGATGCTTGGAGGATTCGTCATTGTTGCCTGTAGCAAAGTCATCCTATGAGGAAAAGTGGTGACTTCATTTTTTGGGAAATGGATCCACAGGAGGAGAGAGTGTTTTCCGGGTGCCATGGCACCCAGAAGCCACAGGATGAACAGGGAGCACAGCGGGACAGGGAGGAGTCTCACATACTTGTAGTTCTTAGAGACTTCATAGCACTGTGAACCCAGGTCAGTGGTACCCTGGTCAGGTGACCCCGGTCACCTAACTCAAGCCGGCCACTTGTAATTCTAACACCAAATCTCCCGACATTAATTCTTCCTGAAGTATCAGAAAATATATGGAAGGATGCATTTGAACACTGATATTCATTGAGCTTTGAGCAGACAAGAGGAGTGAATGGGGAGTATTCGGAGACTGTTTTTAGGGTGGTTGCAAGCTCTTCAGGAAATCTCTCACCTTTGTTCTTCTTTATACTCTTGTAATCTCGATGCTCACCTCATCAAATGGACTCACCTTCTCTTTCCCTCTCTGCAGAGTACAGAAAAACACCACGTATTTGAGTTTTGTTTTTTTTTTTTTTAAGCAATTGCTCTATCTGTCAAAATGTGGGTCCCAAATGTGGGTTTTCTTCCCTCCTTGGCGTGCTTTGAGCGAAACCTGCAGGCAAGGATTCAGAGACAAGCAGGGCTGGAGAATAGCACTAATTTTTTTTTCTAAATCCAGGTATTCTTTTCTAATTCGAATTGGAAGTGTTACGTTGAATTTCTTTTTCTTTCCTTTTTTTTTTTTTTTTTTCTTTTGAACTATGGTTTGACTGTTATCACTTCAACTACCAAGATACACTCTGAGCAAGAACACAGACCGTCCTGAGAGCCTCCACTCTTCTCAGGACCCGGAGTGAGGGCAGGTGGGAGCCCAGGAGCCACTGGGGTTCCAGGAGGGCCAGCCATGAGGCTGATTTTCTATCGGTTCTGAGAATCTTCTTGGAAAGAAAAATTCCAGAAGCTTCAGCTATTCTGCATCAGTCAACCTGGCTCTGGCCTTTTCCTTAAAGTTCAGGTGTATTTTGCTATAGAAATTCCCACCCAGAAAAAAAGGCCATCCTGGAACTGTCCCTAAATGAGATGGAGCTCGCACGAGCAGGTCTTGGTGGCTGCTGCCAACGCCTCCTGCTCGTTTCCAGTGGAGCCCTGACCAGAACTCCTTTCCCTCCTGCTCTGACCCTGCTCTCTGAGGTTAATATTATTGTTTTGACAGCACAAGGGACAAGATCATAGTCTGGAATTCAGGAGTGACTTGTGCTTGGCCATGCATCTGACTGTTCTATGGCTAGGTCAAGTCCTGCTGGGATGGTTTATTTCCACAAGGTATTTCTGATAGTAACAGAAGGAGAGAATGCATGAGCCCTCATACCCGATTCTCCGTTCTCATCAGCACCTGCTTTTGACTGGGATGGATGGTGAATGAACTGTCCCAAATTTGACTTTGAAGATGGACACATGGAGCCACGGGGAACAACAGGACTCAGTAGATGGGCTGGAAGAAGGTGACGAAGAGGAAGGCTTCCTGAAGTATGTGGGAGGAGAACATGAGCGGCCATCTAGTCACTCCTTCCTATACTCTCTGGGGCAGAAATAGAAAAACATATTCTTTTCAAACAGAGGAAATTGATTTTACGGAGTGACGTGCTTAAGCATTTTTAAAAAATAAAACAAAAGGGTCAGAGAAAACATCTAAAAGGAGAGGCACATTCTCAAGAACAGATCATGTTATTGGAAGTAAAAAATCCAGGACTTTATCCTTCTACAGACCTAAGTCAAGTCACTCTTAGGGCCAATTTCTCTTTCTGTAAAATGGGAAGAATATTGTTTACCTACCTCACAGGGGTGTTGTGAGGATTAAGTCATCGGAGCAGGTGAAGCGCTTTGAAGATCAGCGTATCCTGGTGATCAGGCTTGCTTCCTATTTAAAAATCTAAACACCGGTTAAGCACCTACGGTGTGCAAGGTGCAGTGGAGGAAGGGAACCTGATCAGATTCCTCCACTCTCTTTTGATTAATGGGTATATTTTTAAAAGATTCCAAGAGGACAGAATAACAGAGTTGTCTCAATGTGGGTCAAGAAAGGTGTTCTCTGTCTTTCTGCCCCAGAAAAGCTACTCTCCTCTCCTCCAATATTTAGACAAGAAGGAAGGCCTTTACATTCTTTGACTTCTATCAGAGAATGCTCTTGTGGAAAGCAAACACATACTGGTTGTTCTACTTCCTTTGTGGGAAAATGAAGGCAAAAAGCAGTGATAATTCCTTGTGACCAGCACATATGGTTCTGTTATTTCCGTTTTTCCTTCTAGGCTCAGCTTCAGTTTTGCCATAACCTTTTCTTCTGTCTTCAGACCCAGAGAACAAATCACTTATGCTGTCCTGGAATAGCTGGGGATTTGGGCTGGTTGGTTTCCTTGGAGAGTCTGGCACACTGTTGTTTGCTGGAAAGTCGTGGCTTCCAAAGACAAGGGTCTTTACTCGAAAACAAATCAAAACATGTGACTGCCATATATATATATATATATATTTTTTTTTTTTTTTTGGTGGGAGGATTTTTCAGTTTCTTAGCTGCCTCACATAAAGCAAAATCTTTTAAAATTTCTCATTTATTTTTCCATGTGCAAAAAATTCTTCCCTTCCCAAACACACTCAGTGAACCTAGTCTGGATTCTAAACTGTAGCGCATCTCAGAGGATTCAAACGATTTGTACAGTGCCATGCTGGAGGTTCTCTAATTTCTACAAAGAGCCAAACCACCTACTGAGCTAAGCAGGTTGGAATTCCAGCCCCAAATCGAAGCTTTCTGGAAATGCTCCCAGAGCCTTTTAGCTTTAGGAGTGCCCTTTCAGTATTGCTAGGGCAGTCTCCCCAAATCCTCAGAAATCTGCCTGCCACAGAACATCCTCGGAAGCCAGTGGAGGCTTCCTCTGCATATCAGAACCAGAGAGAAGCCACTTGTATTGTGAAAAGCATTATATGATGCCAGCCTTTAAGAAAAGAAGAGTTACTTTCTTTTCCTTTCAGAGGGAAAAAAGGATGGAGAGAAAGGAAAGGTGATTTGATTTGAAAATAGCTCTTTGGTTGCTATAAGAGACGTGAGACTGAAGTCCACGGTGGCCTGTACCTTGGACATGGGACGGCCAAGGCCCGTGGTGAGTTTCCTTAGGCAGCTGAGGTCGTACTGAGGCACCATGCTCCTTTCCTTTCAACCAACTCCAGGCTAAAGGAAAGGGGGCTTCAGCTTTAGTGCTGCCAACTTGCCCAGGTCATCCTGAGAGTCTCAGCCACGTCTCTGCCCCTTTCCAGCCTGTGTTCAGGAGGGGCCCCCGGTGTTGATTCCAAAAGGCCTTCCTTCTTCGAGGCCCATGCTTCCACGCACATTGCTTCAGGTCAGAGCTATCTGTCCAAATGCAACCCCTGCAGCCTTTTCACTTGCCTTGACACCGCTGCTACTGCATGCTTCCCCAAATACGCCCCCGCCCCTGCAGGAGCTGTCATTTCACCCCCACTGAGACAGGGCCTCCAGCACTGCAGTGGGCCCAGCCTGCCTAAAGCCCAGGACAGGCTCTGCTTCTCCCTTTTTTAAAATCCATGTGCCTTTAAAAGGCGTGGCCCTGGGTCCTAGTTGAGCCTTGACAGAAGTGGAGGGCTGGAGAGAGGAACAGGTGATGTTACTTAGGCAGTTAGGACACTCACTGATAACCTGTGAAGCCAATGTGGGCCACTAAGTGAAAATGCTGTTGTCACAGCGGCTGGGCTGTCTAGGGCATTCTATCTTCAAAATAACAACAGCAGTCCTTGCGACGTGGTTGCTCACATCTCCCCCTGCTAACTGCTAACCTCTTGCCACCTGCTTATTGATGGCTTTGTTTGTATTTGTTTGAAATTACATTGATTTTTAAATGCCAGAGAGAGAGAGCCAGCTGAAAGCCACATGAACTCTGAGATGATCTGAGATTATGAAATTACCGGGAATTATGCAGAACAGAGAGCTGCATGATCGTATAACCACATTCAAAGCTTATTGATCCATCGAGATATGTAAATGTGCCAGTCTTGGGCATATTAGATGTATATATACGTATGTATCTGTTTCTTAAAGGGCTGAACCAGTTTAATGAAACAGAATATTCTAATGTTTAGGGCTCTTGCCGGACTTGAAATTGACCTAGCCTAGATGGCTTTTTCCTTCTCCCAGGCACAGGGTCATGAAGAAACCACCCGAGCTGGTGTTTGCCTTCATTTCCTTCATGAGTGACAGAAAGCCAATAGCAGGGTTCTCCTGGGACTGGAGAGGTTCTTTAGTTGCTGCCAGTGTTCTCAGTAGATTCACAGCACAACCTGGGAGCCCCAGGAAGCTTCTTTCTAAACAACTCCCTGCAAGTTCTGGAATTTAAATCATACCAGGTACATCTGATTCTTTAGTGCAGCAGCTGCCACAGTGGGGAAAGAGAGGGGAGTGTGCTGTGGACAGGGAAGCTTGGACGTTACCACTCTGAGCCTGGCCAATGGTAGATGATCTTTGGCTGCCAGGATCTCTGGCCAGTGACAACCAAACCTGCTCTGTCCAGCTCCCCTACACCAACAATCTCTGCAGACAAGGTCGAGGCTGGCCCCATGAAGCGATGAGGACTTGGAGAAGGTGTCTCCCCTGCCTAAATACGAAGTCCTCCTGGCATCTCTAGTAGCCAGGAGACACTGCAGGGCAACTGCTTTGCGGGAGGCAGAACGCATGTTTAGGCAGGACTGCATACCTCCCCACAGCAGCGGTGGTGATGACAAGTCTGAGGTCTTTCAGACAGACTTCAGCAGAAACCCAGGTGCCCACAGTATGAAAAGCCACCCAGAGCCCCTTCTGCCCTTGGACAGAATTGGCATAACCGGAGAGACATGATACCTGGTCATGTGGGAAAAGAGCGCTTAGGTGAGCTGAAGGAAGCAGGTGCTCCTGAAGCAGGGTGTGCTGAACCCTAAGGTTCTTTCTGGAGCAGAGTCCGGTTCTGATCCTCCTCCTTTGGCTGGAGGAGCACGGGAGGCTACCTGCAGTGTTGGGATCTGTGGTCTCTGGATGTTTCTGATTCAGGCAGAGGCTTTGTAAGAGTCCACCTGGAAGACCTGGTATCAGGTGTGAGGCAATCACAGGGTCTGTCCCAGCCCGAAGAAACCCTTTCAAGCCCACATCCCCAGAGGTAGCTTTGGGTCCTGTCCTCTAAACTGTCATGTGTGCACAGCCTGTGTCTCCTGACACCCAGGGTGTGGCATGTGGCCAGTGGCTGCAGATGGTCATGCCAGCACCAACCACCCAGTCTCCCCCCTCCACTGCCTCTTCTTCCCCTGGCATGGTAGCCCCGGTCATGAGAGCAGCAGACTGACTCTGCTTCCCCTACATTCCAGCTTCCACAACCCCCTATCTCCAGCCCAATCTCTAGTGTACAAAATTTTCATTATCTTTTTCCTCCCATGGACCCTTTTGTGCCAAGACATGTTTTTAAGAAACTTTTTTGTTTTTTGTTTTTCTGGTGTCACAGAAAATTGGCTTCTTGGGGTAGGAAAAAAAAAATCTGAAGAGGACATGGGAAGATGACAGTCCCATCCTGGAAGGTTGATCGTGCCACTCTGCCTTCTATATGGTGGTTTTCTTTTACTTTAAAAAAAATTACACATTTGTTGCAGAAAAAAGTTGGGGGCTTAGGGAGTGAAGAAAGAAGGAAAGAAGGAAGCGAGGAAAGAGAGAAGAGGAAGAAGGAAAGGAGCCCCTTGAGTGTCACCGTCATCTCCTAATGTCTGGGGCTGCCACAGTGGTTTGCTGTTCCAAGCAAATCCATTTTTCTTCCTGTAGCTGGGCTGAGCTTTCCAGCACTTTCTGGCTCTGTGTGTGCCTGAGAACAGGCCACGGGATGCTGGCTCTGGCCTCACTGACTTTGCCCCGCAGGGTTTTCTTGGGCTTCTCTTGTGCCTGGTCACGGGCTGTCTCAGCCCCTCCACCTGCTGCAGGGAGGCAGCCAGCGGAGGCCAGGAGGCTGGAATCGAATCTCTCTTCTCATAACAACGGTGATTTTCTTGCATTTGCTTAGCTTTTCTTGGATACTTTTCCCCCAGGAAGCGTTCCCATGTTCACTCCATAAGGTTGAAGATGCTGCTAACTGATGCTCTCCAAAGCAAAACTAGTTGAACTTCTCAGGTCATTCAAAGCCTTGAGTATATACAATTTGTGATTTTCCCTAAAGGGCTAACAAAATATTCTCACTGCTCCTGTCTACCCTGAATGTTGGCTGGCTGACAAACAGGTTGGTGTGCGTGTAGTTTTGGGTTTTCAGGAAACAGAGTCCTAACTACCATTACTTTTGAGATTTCAAATATTTACCCCCCCCACCACCACTGAACCTGTGATTGAGCAAGCATGCATATATAAAAGGAAAGTTTGAGGACTTGGCAACTCCAAGCTAATAGCAGGTGCCACGTTTCCTCTTCCGGTTTCACTAGGACAGGAAGTGTGCTCACTGCGTGAAGTTTTAGTCACTGTGTGAAACTCACCTTCTCCAGCTGGGATTCTTTTCCTTCTTCCATTTGCCTTCATGGCATCCAGTCCTCATGGTTAGTTCTTACATCCTGAGAAGAGCTGAGTGAATAGACTATAGCTTCCAAAGCTCATACCATGTCTTCCTTTACTCTGGAGTTTGCTGGTATTAAAAATAGTCTATAGTGAACTATAGGCTAAGGAGAAAGCATGTGACCTGGGCCTTCCTAGATGAAGGTTCATGACCCCCTCCTGTTACCCAAAGTCTCAACCTAAAGGAATAGAAATGAGCTGATTTCTTGCCCTCATCTCTGTGGGGAAGATCTCTGTGGAAGTGATGTAGTCAAAGCTTTGGGGGAGGGCTAGGAAGTAATCTTGCCCTTGATCACCCTCAAACTACACAGGTATTGCTTATTGACACCTGTGTGACGGGTCACAGAGAGCCCTTATGCATATGATTGATGACATGCTACATAACTAATGCTCTGTTTGGATGGGGAAAGAAGCCCTTATTCTTAATTAATTTAACTGAGCACCTATTAAATGCAAAACATAGTCTTTGCCCACGGATAAAGTCAAAGGGGAGGGAAAATACTGAATGAAAATTCCCAAGGTGTAAATGCTAAGAGCAAAATCTTCACCTCTCACTCCTAGCAGCTCAGAATGCTGTTTGCCATTTAGACTTCACCTAGTACAGTTGCTGGACCAGTTCTTGGAGTACCAAGAACCTTATGTAAGTGGAAAGGCAGAGGCATGGAAGACAGCAAAATGGGCAGAAACCACTGTTCTAGAACCACAGGCAGAGACTCCCAGATACTCTAGTCTGTTATTGTAGGAGGTGTGTAGTGGAAAATAGCCTAATAGGAGACCCAGGGGAAGGGAGGTGGTGAAGAGGTGGCTTTTCTGTTCCCATGAAGGAGCTAGAGAAGCCTCCTTGCAAATGGAGAACTCTTCTGGTGGAAGTCTTTTGTTTGGCCCTGTTTTCCATGCACCAAAAGTAGTCTTGGGTAAATCACTGAGACTGTTGAAAGGTGATAGGAATCATTCCTTTTCCTCATACTGAACTTGGGAGCATCACTTTTAGTATAGACAAGCATCAGAATTTGAAAAACAATTTTAGCTACAACCTCCAGCTCAAAGAAATAAGTATATCACAGAGGCTATGGGGTGGGACCCTGCCCCACCTGATAAGTAGCCTCTTGTCTTTGGGAGAAGCATTGGTCCACGTTTGGGAAGAAAGGCCCCAGCACAGGGAGACATTTTGATCCTAACAGCAGGTCTCCCTATCTTGTCACCACTAGCTTGGACAGTAGAAAGTAAGTACTGGGATGCTGCAGGTCACACCAGCATGGCCAGTTGACCTCCCTTGTCCAACCCAGACCTAGAGTCAGGAAGGACAATGGCTGTAGAGAACACTGTGGCCCTGTATCCCCCACACCATGTTCAGATCTTCCTGCCACAGATACAGGTTCCCCATTGCCATGTGGGATGTGGCTCCCTGCCTGGAAGGAGAACCTAGGAAGGAGTATTTCAAGGCTGGCAAGTATGCTAATAAAAATTAAAATGCCGTTTAATATCCACTCTGCAGTACTCCACTGCCTCCTCTCCTTTTCCAGTTCATCAGTGGCACATTTAACTCTTGGTGCTCCAGATGGCCGAGGACTTCCATTTTCTCAGCCAGACTATGAGGATGGAGTGATGTTGACTCAGAGTCAACACCCATGGTTCTCAGCTATGTGGACAGATGTGGACATCTGTCTGTCCTCACTAATCTAGACCTGGTGCTATTTGTGGCAAACTGTGCCTATGGATGTAATTTCTTTCATTTTCTTTCTTTCTTTTTAATGCTTTGCAACTGAGTAATTATGCTAGAAAGATTTCCATGTAGGGCTTTCCTCAGCACAAGACTTTTGTCCTTTTTTTTAAAAACTTTTTTAGGAGGGCTGGGTTTTCAGTGTCTGAGACCCCTCATTTTTTTTTTTAAATGAAACTTTTTTCTTTTCTATTAGCCAAAAAAAATCACATTAAAAGAACAATGTCATGCTCTTTCTTCCCTCTCTCCCTGCTGAGTTGGAAGGGACAGATGCACATGGGCTGGGAGCTTTTGAATCAATTGCTCAAAAGACTTTTCTGTTCCCCCACCATGGCGAGGTCAGGGCAGTGACAACAATTTAACTTCTCGAACCTTGTGGTGCCTTTTCTCGTGGTGCTTCTCTGTTGTGTAACTCCACTCAAGGCGGCCACTTGCAGCAAACAGCAATGCCAGCAATTGGTATTACGTGCCAGTGCAGTAAAAGACTTTAATGTATAAATATATACATAGATATAGGTATAGATATATCACTATAGTTATATAACTATATAATTGAGGTTCTGATGCAGCTTTGGTGGGAGTTGATTATTCCTCTGCAAAAATATATACTACTCAACTGGAACTAATGGCTGTCTTGAGGATATTGACATTTGGAAAGGGCACCAACAGATGAGATGGGTTACTCTCCTGTGACAAGTTTTCTTCTTCATTCTTGTGAAAGTTGCTGTCTCCATAACACAGAATATTTGCTAAGGGAGCAAAGTGCAGCTTCTTTTGAACTTCCTTTGGTGCTGATATATATTTATTTTAATTCTTTGTTTGTTTTGCTTCCCCATTAGTGGTCCATAAGCTGCTTTTTCCAAAATCTTGACTCAGCAATCAAAGGTGGCAGGGGACAGTTTGGGAATAAGAGGCTGGAAGTTGGGCATCCCTCACTTCATGTCCTGACTCAGTTTCCCCTGTGACCTGCCTAAGTCCCACACATGGGTTCTCTATCTACAATGAGAATCATAAAATTTCCTTACCTCATGGGGAAGAGTAACTTAAAAGGATTAATTGATGATACTGAATCACTAGATCATTATTAATTTGGAGACAGCAACTTGACATGTTTTTAAGAACTTGTTTATATGTTGCTAAGACTTAAATTTGGGGGTTTTGTTTTGTTCTCTCATTTCTCCATCTCTGCTATGTTTTCTGTCCTGCCTTTGGCAATACCTTAAACATTCTGTAACTGATGGAGATTCACCTAGGGCGTTGGGTAGTGCTCATTTCTCCTGAGGGAACAACATCACTAACACTGTATAAGGTGCTAGAATCAAACCTCATTTTATATACTTTGGTTCTTAAAGAAAAACTAAACATGCAGAATTCTTTCTGTGAAGCCTTACTATAGATTGCTATAGCCAATTGTTTATCCAAAAAGTGAGACAGAGAGAATAGAAAATAAAGATAAGATGCAGAGATTCTGTATAGTGTAATGAAAAGACCTTTGCTATTTCTTATATTAATGTAAACTATCATATATATATATTTATATACATATATATATATGCTTGAGGCAGATAGAATGGAAAAATGTACAGTATGCTCATCTTTATTTTGTCAGTTCATTCACAACTTTTAGTATACACGCAAGAGAGGTTTACATTGGGTATGGGATAAAGGATGCCCAGTGAGATATGGGAAATTATTCATCTTTCGGTTCTGTTCCACATGTTATTAGAAAGAGTAGGCTGAATGTAAGGAAAGGGGAATCAGTCAAAACGTAGATGTGCTTTTTTAAATGTTCTGAGCATCGATGTTATGCTTTTGTGTCATTTCTTCTTTCTTCCAAGGTGTCTCTACAGCGCTGTAAAAATATCCCCTGTCTAGGGCGTTAACCAATGTTTACCTCAAGAAAGCTTAAAAAAAAAAAAAAAAAAGAAGCAGTTGTTTTTCCCATCTCTTAAAAACTAGTGTCCCCCTAACCAAAATGTGAGGCATTTCCACAGAAGTTCAGCAAGAGAAGAGAACCATTTCTGAGACTTTCCTTCATGTCCCCTTCCTTTTCCACCATACCCTACCCACTTTAGTTACTAATGAAAGAATACAAGAGATGAGTTTTGACCAGAAGTGGGTTAGGATTTGATTAAAGTGTATTACTGGTGAATATAAACTTCACCAGGACTAGCGGCGCAGGGTCCTTTCAAAGGATGGCTGCTTACTTCAGATGTTTCGTGCTAGCGTGTGTGTGTGTGTGTGTGTGTGTGTGTGTGTACTGTATATATGTTTCAGTGTATGAAATGTCTGGTGGACAGAGAACAAAATACTGCAAACAGAAATGAACAGGAATAAATATATATCAGATGCTATTTCATCAGATGATGCACTTGTTCACCTTGATGAGAAGCCACTGTTTCACAACTATGCAATCTTCCCGTTTTTCTCCCCACCTTCACCTTAGATTTCCAAATTGTTTTCCATAACTCTCACAGATTTTTTCCTTTGTACAAGACTCCAGTATCCAATCCCTGGTTCAAGGTGAGCATGCTACAGTGATTCTTTTCCTAAATTTAAGAGCTAAAGAAAAAAATTCCTTTTCTTTAATTGGAAATGATTCAATGTAACCTCGTTTGGTTCTGTAAGTGAACTGATGTGTATTTTGTTTCGGTTACATGTTTACAACTTGTTTTCATCCTCTTCTTGGTTCGAAATATTTATTTTCTTTATGGATTCTACTTTTTATATATGTTTTGGGGATGTGCTGACTTAAGGCAAGAAAAAATTTGGCTTAAGTGGAAAAATGAGCATGTGACCTCTGGGGTCGGGAGAGGGGAGATCATGTGTACCTGCAGCTGGATTAGTACCTACATCATGGTCCGGAGTCAAGACCATGGCAGGGAATCTGGTGGACTCTGGGGAGGATCTGACCTGGTGTTTTTCTTTCTTTATTTGTGGTCATCTCTACGGAGTAACCTGTCCCCAGAGGGTGGACTAGTATTTTCTGCCTTAGCTTTAGGCCAACTGTGTCCTTCCCAGCTACTCTACCCAGTGCCAAATCCCATGTCCCTGCTGTTGCACCGTGGACTCTTAATACCTTTCCTTCCCTGTCAGCCACTGATGACAACTTGCCCAAGTGGGGTTAATGCATCTACTTTCATTTCAGAAGTTAGATATAAAGGGAATCTTTGAGAGCCCAATGTCAAAAGCGCTCAGGAAATTGGCCCTAGACTGCGTGCCATTTGGAAGCATTTGAAATTGACTCATAGTTGCAGAGGAGAGCAGCAGGTTCTCACCCATTTACAAACTACCATCAAGACAGTTCAGCTAAGAAAGGCTTTGAGAGGTTTAAAAAAAAATAGTTGAAAGAAGAGAGGTCACAGGGTTACACAAAGCACAAACTCTGCAGGGGAAGCCCTGTATGCAGAAGGCAGCTTTGTAACTTCTCTAGTTGTCTGCACAAGTCTGAGTTTTGCACACAGTTTACAAATCTTGCACAAGGTGGCTGAGCCATCCAAGACAGTTTTTAAAAGAGAAATCCAGACACTGCCTAACTGCTCCAGCACAACATGCTTCCACTCCTCAGCTGGTGGGAGCTGAGGTGAAATTCCTTTGGAATGAGGAAGGAAGGGGGTCCTTTGATGAGGTGCTTTGCCTCTAGGGGCCTCATTCCTTGCCTCTCCCAGTCCTGCACATTCTCGTAGCTACTCAGGGGATCTGAACGAAGAGCTATTCATTTGCTTTTGTCTTGTTCTGTAGATCACGCCTGCTGAGACCCATCCCAGGAATTACTCATTCTTTGGTTTTCTTCCTTATATATAATAGGAACAAGGGTTCCTCTTTTCCTGCGAGTATTTTGGAGACCTTCAGCATTTTCCTGGGGCCTAGCTCTGCATAACCAGACCCCAAGAAGCTTACCCAAATCTAACTTGTCTTTAAGGCTCAGAAATTCCATAGGAGATCTGTTCCAGGACACCATGAAATTTCCCAACTCCTGGCCCTCCCTAAAAATCAGCTGTAGATTCAAAGGGACCTCTTGAAGGTTGCCAGGGTCTGGGACTATGACCCTAGTTCCCTCTAGCCTGCCCTATCAGCACTCAGCCTTCCAGGTCTTCACCCACCTTGGGCAGAGTAAAGAGTGGCCAAAGGTTAGAAGTGGTCGAGATCCCTCACTCCTTGCTTGCCCAGGGCCAAGTCAGAGTGCCCAACACCCATTTGGGGACCTCTCTGGGAAGGGACATGCCCTCCTCTGCAGTCTGCAGCATTGTTGAGTTTCTGCCCAAATCTAGACACTGTCCGGAAGCCTGACAGTTCATTCCCAGCACATAGAGCCTTTGCTGGAAAAATATTCCCTGTCAGAGTGGATAACTGTGGCCTTGTGTTATGTAGGTTCTTGCCATCGAGTCGGCCTTGATATCCTGCATGGCCCGTGGATGTACAGTCCTGAATACCAGGCCAGAGAGGTCATGGATGGCCCAGAGCCCTGCCGGGCTGGCTGCTTCTGAATAAGGAATCTGGTCAGAGATGTTGTGCTTCTCCTGATGGGAGTAGAAGACAGTTCCATTAGAGGAAAGAAGCATTTAGAATTACTGGAGTCTCAGGAATGTCATGTGTCAGATCAAATCCAGTGTGGTCTGAGCAGGTGACATCAGTGATGCAGAGGCCTTTTGGGGAGGATGAGAGGACTCAGATTCCACTGACAGTAACCAAGGGCCACAGATGTGTCACGCTCTGCGCCCAGTGCCTCCATATAAAACATCTCCTCTAAATCCTGGGGATCATTTGGTGAGGTGCGATATCGCACCCCATTATACAAATGAGGAAACTGATGTTCAGGGCGTCCTCACACTTGCATAGGGTCCCATGGTCAGTCAGGGGTTCGGCTGGGGGCAGACCTCGGTATCTCAGTTCTGCTCCATCCCTAGTGGTTCTGCTGCTCTTCCAGGTGGACTCCACCTCCTCCACCTCCCCACGGCTCACAAACCCCAGGGAGCTCACAGTGCCTGGCGGGGAATGTTTGGGATGAAAGCCAGGAAGCCCCAGCATTTTTGTTTGCATTCAGTTGGCCAGAGCAGCTAGGAGAAGGATGGCTAAAGTTCAGGGATGATTAATGAATTAAGGTGTCACCATGGAAGAAGATGCCTGCTTTCCAGAGGTCACCCTGAGTTACCTCTTCAGTTATGTTCCGGAGGAGCTCTGTGGACTAGTCTTCCCAGAAGCACTTCAAGGTGTCTGCTTTGCTTGTCTTGAGAACGTTCGTGTCTCTCTGTCTTGTTTTATTTTTGTTCTCCATGACCTTGAGAGATGACTTTCAGATAAATGGATTATTTCCCTAAGGATACAGAGGGGATGAGAAGTTAGAGTTAGAACAAATTAAGAAATTGAAGCTTCACAGGGTCAGTTCTGAGTTTTTTGCAGACAGTGGCTGTGACTCAGCAGTGAGAAGGAGCAGTCCAGAAGGGACCCTGTGCTGGGCTGGGGAGGAGGCAGGCTAAGGTTGGGGATGACCATGCCAGGGCTTGGTAACTGGTGTTTGCTCCTGTCCTCACTGCTCCTGGGCTGGCCATTGCTTTCCATGAGCCCCACTATCCCCATCTCTAAAATGCAGAGGCGAGCTTGGTAACCTCTGTGATTGATTCAAACGAGAAAGATACTGAAACAGTGAGCCAGGCAAATGCATTAGATGAAATTTCTGGAATGATGAATGGACACCTTTGGATTTGGGAACAGAAATCACTATAGACCCTAAGTCAACGAATGCAAATACCAGCATCAAACTAGCAGGCTGAAGACAGTGATTTTCACTTTCATGTGAACTGATTTAAAACAATAGAAATGAGAGAAGATGCCAGCTGCAGTGGTTCACACCTGTAATCCCAACACTTTGGGAGGCCGAGGTGGGTGGATCACCTGAGATCAGAAGTTTGAGACCAGCCTGGCCAACATGGTGAATCTCTGTCCCTACTAAAAATACAAAAATTAGCCAGGTGTGGTGGCAGGCATCTATAATCTCAGCTACTCGGGAGGCTGAGGCAGGAGAATTGCTTGAACCCGGGAGGTGGAGATTGCAGTGAGCAGAGGTCACACCACTACACTCCAGTATGGGTGATTGAGCAAGACTCCATCTCAAAAAAAGAAAAAAGAGAGAAAGAGAGAGAAGCACAAGGGAAATAGTGGTGGGGAGAAGAGCAGAAATGGGCAGGAAGAAAGGGAGATTAAAGAGATTGGTGGGAGGGAAGGAATGGTGAGACTGCCATGTTCTTCCTCTACCAGCAGTCTCATGTTTTATGTTTGTTCACAATTACATCAGCTTAATGGCTACCGAGCACCCTCTAAGTGAGGACGTGCACATACACACATACTACACACAGACACATTCCACACTATACGTACTACACACACACACACACACTATACATACTACACACACACACACACACACACACACACACACACACACACACATGTTATTCTAATCCTGCCAATGTCCAGTGGTTACCTAGGGGGAAAACCCCTCAGTCCTTGAGCATAGCTGGGGCTTCTTCAGAGCACAAGGAACAGTGGAATCTCAGGGTTTGAAGGAGACTCAGACACCACCTAATTTGCTCTTCCACACAGTCGCTGACAAAAGGCTATCACACTGACTGTTACAGGCCTCCAGGGACAGAGGCTCCTCGCCTCCAGGATTGAGTACCTTGTAGCTGGACAGTCTTCGCTTTAACTAGCCTACTGCGGCCTGTTGTGATCCAGACTGGTTTCTTTTGCTTTGGGCTTCCAAGGGGACGGAGTCCCTGCATCTGGATTAATGAGCTCTGGGACACTTGGAAGTGCCCTTGGCCTTGTCTTGCCCAGGACCTCCTCCTGAATGCAAGAGTAGAAATTGTACCTCACCTTGTCTTTGCCTTCTGAAGGCAATCCTCCTGCCAACCTCACAGCCCAGCCACACTGGAAGCAGCTGCCCATCTTTGTTGTGTCCTGTTATTACAAAGACTCAGATGAACTGTTTCTTGTTCCTTTCCATTTATCGGGTCCAGTGTTTTGTGTTCAAAATTCAAATGTAAGTCTTGATTTGAAATGGATTGAGGAAGGCAGAAGGAGGCCCCTGGGTTTTGCCGGAAAGGGGAATATGTATTCATAGGGTCTTCAAGGACCTCAGAACACTGCTGGTACCTTTCCCTCTTCCCCAAACCAATCCCCTGTTGCATTTCCCAAAAACCCAGTGCAACCTGGATGATGGCCTCCACACAGCAGGAGCTCTGCTTTACACTGGGAAGACAAAGAGGAAAGACTGTCTTGTAAAGCACTCACAGTCCAGCAGGGAGACAAAGCAGAAACCTATGGGACACTACCATCTGGCTTCTGGGAGGACAGGGTGGTCCTGCACAGCAGGGCTAACTTCATGCCTTCCATGCATATGGCTTCTCATCGAGGGCTTCTCTGATCAGTTCCCTCTTCGAATCTACCATCATCCCCAAATGAACCAGGCATTCCAGTAGGACCCCTCAGTCTTCCCCCTAACCCAAGGCTAAACTGGGCTGCAGCTATTCCCAGTTATTTCTCATCAGAGCAAATCCCACCAAAAGCAGGATCATGTCCAGCGTAAAAATAACCACTAAACAATCCAAGGAGCTTCATTCAGTTCAGCCTTTAGCCCTACAGACGCCTCTGAGCCCTGTATCTTCCACATTTTCTCCAGAGTCTCTAGAGCCTTCTAGTCACGTCCAACCAACCCAAAAGTTACTCCTTGGCTTTCTTGCTCAGGTCCCTTCGTTCCCTTTTTGCCACCCTACTGATCTGAGCTGACCCGTCCATGGTTGGTGGTTTCATGACTCTGTTGACCGAGTCACCGCCTCAACCAGCCAAAGTCCACGTCTGCTTTCTCCCACCACCCCCCCATCTTCCTTCCATCCAGGACAGAAATATGAGGACAAAGTGGTCCCTGCAGTAGCTATCACTGCCTGACAGAGCATTTTATAGTAAAAATATGTTTACAGTTAAGATCAAGGCTGATGGAGGCCTTCTTGGTGGCCTGTTGAGCTCTCCATTGGAAGAGTTGTTCTTGGAAATGAGAAGGAGAAAGGGATCATCTCAATGTCCCCATCTGGTAGATCTTGCTTCAACGACTATGAGTGCAGATGACCCAAAAGAGGAAAAGCTGGGCCAGACGCATCACAGCCAAATTGATTTCCAGCCAACAGGTGCCAAGGGTGCTCAAAGTGGTCCCCAACACAGTGGCTGCAGAAGTGAGGGCTGACTCTAGGGAACATGAAGAAACCCTGACTCCCTTACTATTGATGCTGGGCTGCTGAGCTCACAAGGTGCTCCAACCTCACCTGGCAAGAATACATAGAACAACCCTATGGGATGGGTTACTCCTAACTAGATATATTTAAATTATTTATTTTTTTTGTGGGCACAAAAAGCAAAAACAAAACTTTCTTAATTTCACCAGGGTTTGCAATTGAACACATCTGATTCCCTGACTTAAAAAATAATATATATATATATATTTTTTTTTTCATTTTGGAGCAGGTTTGTTTTTAAATGGGGCTTATTTTTTGGATTTGAGATCACTGGGCTTCTTGCCTTGTGAATCAATGCTTGCTGCTGTATTGAAAAATGCATACACCGGTGACCGCAGTATGAAGCCAAATTTTAAATCTTAGTCTCCTCCATCTGTAAGTGTTATGTATCTACCTCATTATGATTTTTTTGGTTTCCTGTGCTTTCGTGTTGTGTACAATGTCAGAGGTGAAATGTAGATAAAAATATATATATATAAATATATATTTTTTGCTTTGCAATAAAGTTCAAAGCTATAACACAGAATATTCCTGAAATATCATAGCCTTTTACTGTGCTCTATCTCCTCAGTTGTGAATTGTCTCGGGAAACTTTTTGCCTATTCACGAGAGTCAATATTGTTGTGTTTGTCATTTGATGAATTATTCTAATTATTTTAACTGTACTTTTTGACACATTGAATAAGACACTAGGATTCTTGAACTACTCTTGGTTTCAAAGGTGCTTTACTTCTGTGGACTCAAGTGATCAAATGGAAGGGAAGTATCTCTGCAGACTTGAATCTTCCAGAAAAAAATATGGATCTCAATGCCATTGGGCTTTGGGTTTAGAACAAAAGGTTCGTGCGTAGGGGGAAAAAGGAAACATTGGTTTGGCTTTGACTTCTTGACGCTTTTGGTATTTATTTATGTCCAACTTTACTTCTTTTTTAAATTTCAATTTCTTGGCATGAAATATGGTATTCATTGACTCCCTGGCATTCTTGTGTGATTTGGCTGCTTTTGACTTTTTGACTCCACCATTTTCCCTAGGTTGATTTTATGTGTTGTGCTATTTGGTGGTGAACTGTCCTGTGCCCAGTTCCCACCTCTTCTCTAAACCTTCTAGAACTCTCTTTCATACCACATGTTCAGAGGAACGATGATTGGAAACTTTTGTAGTCTACAAGCCAACGATGCCATAAAGACTCAAGGTTTTCAAAAGAATCCTGACCAATTACAGTACAGGTTCAAGGGATCTTGAATAAAAGGTGGATTGTTTGCAATTGATTCCCTTTATTTATGTGCTTGGACAGAATTACCATCCTTTAACTAAGCACATGTAGGTCATGAGCCCTAAATAATTTGTATGGTTCAACCACCCTTGTTTTTCTGTGTCTTTGGCCAAAATATGTAAGGCTTTTCTTAAATTCATTCAGTATGTTTTACATGTATAAAGAAAAGTCTATAAGTTAGAATAAAAGATCCTTTAAAATGATATTTCAACAAAACCCTTTAAGTATTTTATTATTCCCCAGCTCCAGGGAGCTAGGGAAAAGTGGTCATTGAAAGGGGGAATTATTTCCACAAATGGTGACACTGCCCATTAAATACATGTAATGCTATAGAAAAATGAACATTTCATAATATGTTGGTTTTTCTTATTTTGATTATCATAAATAATTGCTGGTATGTATTAGTAATGGACACTTTAACTTGTATTTGGGGAGGTTTGCTTTGTTCTGTAATGATGCTGAGTCAGTATTTAAAACAACCTGGCTAGGTTAGACTTTGCCTGTTCTTGACTATTTCTCTCTTTTTATGATATAAAGGTCTGTCTAAGAATTGAAATGCAGATAAAACATGACTGAAGGTAGAACACACTGATGTTGATTGAAAGGGAAAAATATTATGATAAATATATATACTTATATATATACACACATGTAAGTAAGTGAGTGAGAATATATTATATATTCACACACACACAAACATACATATGGGCACAATGACAGTATGTTTTCAAGGTTGGTTTTTTGATTCTGAGGAATTTGCCACCTCACTGAGCTTCCCAAGATTTCAAGATTTCCTTTGAAATAATTAAATGTTTAAGACAGAAATGTTTGCTTCTTTTCTGTAGGTACTAGAAAATACAATTCTTATTATTCCCTATTCTTTCAGTGACATATCCATTGTGCACTCAGAAGAGCCTGTTTTTAGGGAGACTTTGGGGTTCTTTTATCATCACCTTTCAGCTCACCCAATGCCATGAGAAAATTACCTACAGAACTACCTACACCTGCCTATCTTGACTCTTGTCTTTCTGTTCATCTCAGTTCCCCAGTTTTTCCACAGGGGAGGCCTTGTTTCCTGGAGACCCTTCTGAAGTTTGAATACTGAACTGAGCTCTCTTTCCCTGCTGGTTCTGGGCCCTCTCCATACCTGGTGCCACCCTTCCTGGACTCCCAGCCCCATTGCTTCCCAGGACACAGATAATGGGAATTTCAGAGTTAGTAGAAAGAATTTCTTGCTGTATCTGTGATCGAGGGATTTTAGATACACGTGTTGGTAGCCCTAAGCATGAGGTTTAATCTATTTCTTATAAAGAAGGGTCCACAATGGACCAAACTCTAAAGGTAACCCAAAGAGATGGCTTAACAGGACTTCTGACGAAGACCGATTAGTTTTGTTCTTATAGTGACCTTCTGCTTACTCATGAGCAAAACTCACTTAGCTGAGAGGGAATCCCTGATACGTCAGAGCCAGTATGGGAACAGGGAAAAGGAATTGAACTTCAATTCACTGTAAAAAGCATTTTCTTCTTTCTCTTTCCTTTTCTGTTTGTAGACCACATTTCTGCAGAGTGGGCTGGTCCTTGGGCATGACCATTGTTGAGTTATTCTGGGGAGTTTCCTGCACTGCTGGGAGGATACTGTAGTTTTGTTTGTTTGTTTTAAATCTAATTATTATATCTTTTTGTTGCCTGGAAAGGGAGAAGGTACTGTCCCCAGGATGTAATCATTCTAGATAGAGATGCTTTCAAATCTGTGAATGGTTGCTGGTTGCTCTTGAACTCCCAAGGGAATCTCCAGTTTGGAAACAATTTCTTACTCCTTAGTTGGGTTGTTGGTTTTCTGCTTCTGGACAAAAACAGCTTCTATGCTTTAGGAGCTTTGAAATCACTGGACAGAGGAAGCAGGTGGATTACAATGGGATGTGTCAGATGATGCAAGAATTTCTTTTACCCTAAATTCAAGGTATTTATGGCTCTGGTAGAGGCTTTTTGATATTTTTTATGTTCTCGGGCCACTGGGTCTGCCCAGTGACCTTCCCTGCAAGAACAGTGTGACAGATAATGTGTCCATTTTACCCGCTGGAGTTTCCTTGGGCCAGAACAGCATTCTCACTTCAAATCCAGTTAATCATTTGATTATCAAGTATTTATTGAACACTTACTCTACCAAGCACAGGGTTAGGACTACAGGGATAAAAAGATGAAATAAACTTCAAGGTGTGTAATACAAGAGATAAGAATGTACATTAAAAACCATAATGCAGTGGAGAGTGGAGCCTAAGGAGAAGTGCAAGACATTATGGACATCCAGAACAGGAAGAAATATTTCCAAGTGAAGGTAGAAGGGAAGGCTTCGAAATGATGACATTTGAGTTGAGTTTTGAGGAATTCACAGCCTGCATGCAGATGGGTGAATATGGCTGGGCACGTCCATAGTCATGATGCATCATTCATTCACTTACCATGTTGATTTCCTTCCAATGAGAAAGCAAGACGATTTCAGCAGGACATATTCAAGCCATGCAGTGTCTTCCGCTGTCTGTTAACATTCACCCAACCTTATTGAAAGGATAGCCCTTCAGTTGAAGCTAGGTTAACTCTTGGTTTAGAAATGTGATTCAGGGAATGGCTCTTCCTTGTAGATAACCACACTCCCTCTTCAAAAGCTTCATGAACACCCCAAGAGTTGGACTTGCAGTTGCTCAGATGTATCCATTTGCATGCCTTGACTCAAAGCTAAGCCCCTGCAGCTTTGATATATCTAAACCCATTCCTCTAGTTCTCCATATGTGGTGGAAGGGAGGAGGAATGAGGTTTCAAGTGGTGATTTGCATGTCTCCATCTGCAAGGGCACATCAGAAGAGTGGAAGGTGTCAGTGGACCACTTTACATGTGATTCCTGGAACCACTGAGTTTTTGAGATCAAAGGGAGGGAACTTGAATGAAAAATGGAATTTCTTTAAGCCTAAAGCTGCCCAAGAGACATAGAAGCTTCCAGTCTCTGTTTCTTAATAGGGTTTTCATTCAAACCTGGTCAGGCAAGCTTCTGGAATGTTTGAGGCCAGTGCAATCTCCCAGAATTGGTTGAGCCATGCAGACCTTGGCTGGCCCCAGAACTTCACTGTAGTAGCCAAGGAGCTGGTTACTGTGGGCACAGCATTTCCTAATGAGGAATTGAGTCTTTGGGATGTGAGGTAAGGCCCAGTTTCTCCTATGGTTTATATAGTGGTTCCAGGTCTTTCCAGATGCCATGAGAAAAGTATGTAGAAAATGAGGCCAAGATAGTTTCTTTTCTGATACTTTCCTCAGTGGTCCCCAGTTCTCTCAGCACCACACCTAGATTCCTCCTCAGTTTGTTCACCTTATTTCATGTTCTGAGACTTTAAAAAACAAAGAAACAAAACCCCATGCAGACATTGAGATGAGAGATGCAAAGGCACCGAGAATCGAGACAAATGTGAGGACCTCCCCACAGACAGATCTGCTCCTGGAACTGGTACTTGGCATCTAACGTGTGGCCTGGCCTCTGACGTCAGAAAAGCATGTCTAAGTGGAAATGCAGGGAATGGCAGTTCTGAACCTTAGAACTTATTAATAGGACAAGCAGGCTTGGAATCCTGATTGGAACCCCCCAACTGCCCTTAGTCTCATTCCTTATAATTATTATCTCTTTAACCTCCATAAAATAACTCTACTACCAGTCCATGGCCTGGAATCTCTTCAGAATGGGTAGGATGGTGACCATTTGTATCCCTGGGGCTGATAGACAAGCCATGTCAGCCACACATACATTCAGAAAAGTTGGACTTTGGTTTTACACAAATTATTTTAAACTTCAAGCTTCAAGATACTAAATTTTAATCATTCCCTTTACCACCACCACCTGGGGCTCTACTGAGCCTGACCGCCATGAACCACAGGCTGAGGGTGACCCCAGACCCTCACTGGACCCCACGTTCCCCTCACCCATGATGTCTGCTCAAAGGTGTGTTGCCTAAAGCATTATTCCTCTCAGATTTAACTCATATTTACTGAGCAGTTGCTTTATGCCAAGTTGCTAAGTGCTTTTCTATATATTTTCTTAGTTCATTTAATTTATTCTTCGTAATGACCTTTTTCATCTAGAGAAATAGAACACATTGCTTTGTTTGACAAATGAGAAAAATGTGACCTAGGCACGTGAATGATTTGCTCAACTTCTCTTGATTCATAAGAGATAAAAACCATGAGGTGGTATCAAGTGTCTTGGCTGAAAGTCTTCTGCCTTTTCCACCACGCCTCTGCCCACACACTCTCTTGCTTTATTGATGGAACATTCTAACCTTCTTTTCTTCCTGCTGCCTCACTGAACTTTGAGAGGCCACTTGCCTGTGTGGTACATTTTATCTCAGGCTGCAGCAGCCAAGGATGGCTTGATCTGTGTATAAACAATCTATCTTGAGATTGCCTAAGAGCAGGGGCCTTTGAGGCACCAGTCTGAGACTGGCATATCCTGTTTTCTCTGTTTCCAAAGATTTTCCCTGAAAATAGTACCTAAAATAAACCTTATGAGAATGTACTTTTAAAGCCAATTCATGTTCTTCTCATCTTTCCCAGGAAGGTCTTTTGGCAGAATCTCTCTTTGCTGTAGAGAAGAAATCAGGGCATTCGGTGGCATCATTATATTTTGGACCCCAAAAAGCTCAAAAGGAACTAAACAAACAATCTCTGCCTCTAGCTAGAGTTGCTGCCTCCAATACTGCTGACCTGAATTACTGGGCTCTAGCTTGGCTTCAGGAAGCTTGCAAATACCTTGATATTGCCCCATATCAGCTGTCAAAACTGGCAACCGCCTCCCTGAGGTTAAAGGTTGACATTTCTTCCCTTGAGAACTAAGAGCTCATTGAGATTCCTGGACTCACGCACAGTCAGTTCACTCTGTTCATTAATCTTCTAACTTACTCCCTCATTATTCAGGTATCCCAGGCCTGTGACTAGACCCTATCCGTAAGTGATTCACAGTCTGGTGGGGAGCTAACCTCTGTACATCCAGGGCTGAAAGGTAAGATGAAATTAATGAGTGCAGATAAAGCTCTCTCAAGTTCAAAGGAAAGGAAGGCATCTTAGCACCACCAAGCTCAGAGAAAGAAGAGATGAGGGCATTAAGGACTGTTGAGTGTTCCTCATGAATAGCATGTCCTGGGTTAAGGACATTTGAGAAGGTTATAAGGAAACAATTAACACCTGTGCCCCCTTTTTTCCCTAAAAGTAACTCCCAGTGTGTACCAACATATTGGCTCCCTTGATAGCCATTGTTAGAGGACGCTTCCTGCAATCATCTTCCTTCTCAGTCAGTCACCAGGAGTCCTTCTCAAATAGGAAAAAAATGGTTTAACCACATCAAGAAGAGACAAGGGGAGGGAAGAATAAGGAAAAGATTCCTCTATCTTTGAGACAGATTGCTTCAGAAGGAAAGTGGGTACTTCATCCATAATCATGTTAGCCTTGACCTGGAAACTGAAGAAAGGGTCCCATTACTGCCTCAACCCCAGGAGAGAAGAAGGACATGAAACTCACCATCCCTGTGCCTTTCTAGCTCTCATTCCTAGCCATTGTTTCTATATGACCACATATCCCATGCCTCCATCCTGAGTTTAGGTTAAGCAACATACTATGAATAAGCACATGGCTTACAGAGAACAAAGAAGAAGGATATATTCTCTTAAGAAGAGCCAAGAGAGAAAGGGACACAACAGCATGGCACAGGCCTTGGATCAGTTGACTAAACTTGAAAGGTTCCCTGTGAGATAAGAAGCTCCAGGCCAATCCCACATGGCCCCTTTAAGCCAATGATGAATTCTTGTCAATTCCACTTAAGAATCATTTGTTTGTTCTTTGTCACTGTTCTATTTTCATGGAAAATGCTGAGATATATCTTGAGGTGATTTATCAAAAGAATTTCTGAATCAGGTCATATCACATTCATTGCATCTGTCACTTACCAGGCACCCATTTCCAAAATATGACATATTTTTCTCCAAGTAAGTCCATTAATAACACTACAGATTATGTCAATGGTGAGTGTCCACTGATTAATGGTGATGAGAAATAGTGTTGTTTATGTTTTGATCTTCAAGACATAGTTGTTTCTTCCCCAGTTTTCTAGTTCAATTGGGCAAACTGGACCACTAAAAGTCCACTAGGAGTTTGTCTAGTGATTTCCCTAAGTGCAGCTGGGTACGAGCAAGTTGAAAATGACTTCTGTCAGCAGAAATTAGAGTTAGGAAGCTATGCTGCTGCATCCCAGGACCACCAACTCTCACTTAGCCCTGCCTCCCCTCCAAGAAGTATCAACCCTTTCTACATTCAAGTGCAGCAGCTGAAGTCCTGGGTTTGCCACCAACATTAATACTCCATGTGCTGAAGCAGTTTCCTCTTCTGCAAAATGATGACACTCTTTAAGGTTTTTTTCCATCCTAAAATTTTGTTATCAATACCCACTCATCTAACAAACAGGAAGAAAATTTAGCTTCTCCTTAAACCCATACCAATATTTATGAGCATAAGAACACAAAGATCCTCCTTACACAGAAGACAAACATCTCCTAAGTCAATTCAACTGTATTTTTCTCTTACCTTAAAAGATGAAGCCAATACAAAAATTAGGTGGATGTGGTGGTGCACACCTGTAATCCCAGGTACTCTGGGGGCTGTGACAGGAAAGTTGTTTGAAGCCGGGAGGCAGAGGTTGCAGTGAGCTGAGATCACACCACTGCACTTCAACCTGGGTGACAGTGTGAGACTCAGTCTCAAAAAAAAAAAAATTCTCCATTCAAGGGAAGACCCATGGTCAGCAGTTCCTTAGGTCCGCAGAACCACTCACCTAGGGGAACTCAGAGCAATGAGCAGAGGGCACTGCCTCTGAACTGCAGAGGCACAGGTGGTGGCTGCATTTTGAGCCGGGGCTGGGTGAGGAGTACAGAGGTTTCTGGGACAACTGCTTTGCTATGATAGGTCATGGGTGGAAACTGAAGTCTAGGAAAGCTTAGTAAGAGGTGGGAATCAGAAGCCAAGTCTGGTGGGATCTCCTCTGGTCTAAGGAATGAAGAAGTATGAGCACCTTTTGCAAAAAGCGAGGGACAGAGGCACCAGTTCTGCCTGACTCTGTGTCTCCTAAAACAAATGCTGACATGCCTGCTGGAGGAGGCCATGTGCTGGGCTGAGCACAGGTGTCCACTTCTACCCATAAGAGCAGGAACCAGACCAGTAGGATGCCAGTGGACACTGAGCCTGTAGGATTGGGGGGATCTTTTTTTCTTCTTGAGGAGTGTAGCAAAATTTTTAAGGGAAGCCCAAACTTCCTGCAATGGCCATATCTTAGCCAAATGATTGTTTCCTAAGCTCACACTAACTCTATTTCAAAGTTAGAAAAACTTCCTAATGTGGCAGAGGAGTTTGCATTTCTTCCCTTTCTTAGGCCAGGAGTGTGAGTAAAGGTTCTCTTACCTGAATGCAGGTCACTAGTAGGAGGCAGGTGGATCAAACCACAGGCCACATCCCCGGGGAGATGGGGGCGGGTGCTACCCACACCCTACACAGGGCTGGCCAGCCCCACTCCCCCATGGCCTCAACAGCAGCCTCTTTCTGTCTAAAATCGCCCCTTTCTAAGTCACTTAACCTAGGCAGAGTTGCCCTGTGCAGTTAGGAGGGACTTAGAGCAGGGTAGAAGGGGCCAATCCAAATGGCTCAAAGAGCAGCTTTCTTGGGTTTAGGCCTCAGGATAAGGCTAGAGAGGGGTCACACGAGGAAAGCCAAAGACCAACAGGGACAATGTGTGGCTTCCATGGGCTTCCGGCCTGCAGTCGGTGTCAAGGAGCCATGATCTGCCCTCCTCTTGGGCATGGAGGGATGGTTCCTGGAGGCATTTCAGTACATCCTGCCTTTCCCAACCTGTCCCAGACTAGTTCTTGCTACAAATCTCAGAAGAGGATTCTCCCTCAGTCCCCCTTGCCTAGCTTCCTGTCCCTCGGCATGGAGGTGAAGATCTGATCACTGCCTTTAGCCTCTCACTCTCTGCCAGCTACTTGCCCAAAGCTGAGGCTCTCCGGGGAACTGCAGCTCGTTCTCAGATAGACTTTTGGGTTCTTGACTTTTTCTTTCTTCTCTTGACAAGCATGAGACTCTGAGGCACAATGGCCTCGACAGGGGTCACTCATGTATCAGCTGAAGGCTCCTCCCCAGCCTGGTCTCCCGGCTCTCATTCTGTCCATTTTTCTTTCCTGAGGGGTGACCCCATTATGTTTTGCTTTCATTCTGTGAGGTGGTGCCTCTTCTGCTCTCAACAGTGTGGGATGGTATGTGATGGGTATTGAAGCGCAAAGCAGCATTACCCCAAAGAGGCTCATGCAGGGGAAAAAAATTTTTTTTTTTTTAAGTATCATGAGAAAAGCTCAGTGATGTGGGAAACTCCCCTCAGATCCTCCATTCTTCAGCCCCGGTTTTCCAGTCCTTTTCTTGTGGAATTTTAATACCATCTATTTACTATGATTTTTTCTAATGGAGGAAGAACATCATGCTAATGAGTTGTGCAAAGGACATCATTCTTTTGTAACTCTAAGTTAAAGGGGTAAAGACTGCAGTGAAGCGTGTTTATGTTAAGATACCCATTTATTGTGCTAGGTTGATTTCAGATTGGTGCATTCTCACTTATCAGGGACCTCTGATTCTAGCAGAACAAAATCAGCTATTTACTCTAGTTACTGTAAGCAGATACATAACTTTTACTGTAATTTGAAAAAACCTTGCACTGTAATGGTTAAAAAAAAAAAAAGCAAATCTTACTGAAACTGATTTTGTATTTTTGATTACATCTGAATTTTCACATTTTTGTATCTAACCGTGACCACGGTAGTGCTTCCATAGCTTGTGTTCAAGGTCTTGTTTTCTTTCCAGGTTGAATTCTTAAGATTGTGTTGGTGCCAGATGTTTAAGGGGCAGGACTGGGGCCTGGCTTGTAGAACCTGTCATGGGGGTTGTGTCTTCGGCCAGATCACGAGCTGGCAACAGGAAATCTTGCCTAGACGGAGCAAGCTGATGTCGCATTTCATTGCGTGAATTCCCACTGACAGTTCATATCTCCAACTAATTTAAGGCCAACAGTTTTGGCCAAACCTTTGCCAAGGACTCTCTCAACTGAGCTGCCCCCCACCCCTGCATTACCCAGCTTCCTGGGTAAGGGAGGACATTTTTGAAAACAAAACTTGTGAAGTTAATTTGTGCTTATGATTTTTTTCTTCTTGCTGGAAACGTGCTGGGAAGCAGACAGCATGATGTTATTGCTTTTTCTGCTTTTCCAAACCTGTTGTACTCTTTTGTTTCTTAGTGAAGAAAATTCTAGACACAGACCTAAATATGAACTCTTCCTCCTGTATTTCAGATTAGCAATTCTCCCTATGTATTCCTAACTTGTTAAAGTGTTTACCTTCTTAGCATTGCTTCTCACATTTTACTTTATTTTTTTACTGAAAACAACAACAAACCCACAAAGGAACAAATAATCTTTCTCTTTTTCTCTCTTTCTCTCTGATGTGTAATGTTGTGTTGTCCAGATTCTGTATAAAAATATGTATATGATGTATCTGATATTTGGCAGCCACTGGCTGTTACTTTAACCAATATAATTAACAAAATGCATAATGTTGGTGTTTGATTTTTTTTTACAAAAAAAAAAAAAAACAACCTAGTTAAGATGTTTGTGTATTTTTGCATGGTTAAAATGTACTTAGTGCATTGAGAAATGTTGTGGAGGCACTCAGTGAAAAGGCCGGTTTACTTTTTGATCCTAATGGTAATTGGTTGTTGACCAGACTAATCCCTATGACGTCCGTCTTCTTTAAGTTAGCATATTTCTATTTATAACTTGTTTCAGTACTCAAGATTCAGCATAGTGTATCTATCTATCTCTATTGTATTTACTGTTCCTTAAAACCAGGTTGTGGAAGTTCACTGCGTCTGACTCAGATGTCTCCATTGCCAATTTCTGTTGAAATGTGTTCCGTTCAATTTGCTGTACAGTCCAGATCTGAAGCATCCCCGGGGCCCGTGGACAAGGGCTGTCATCTCTCCTTCCGATGGTCTATTCCTTTGAGCAGTGCTGTGGTTTTTCCCTTCACATGGAACATCCTTTTTTTTTTTTTTTTTTAACCTAGTTATATAAAGGAGGATAAAAAGACAGGAAATTAAGTAGAAATATAAGAATTACTTATATTTTATACAAAAAGTGCATATAATATATTATAGAGAGATAGGCAGACTTTAAATGTGAATTAAGCCAAAAGGCAATGAAAGATAGTGAAGGGCTCAGAAAGCGAGATCTTGGGTTGTCTTCCCAGGAGTGGCACCATTTCAATAGGAGAGCTGCAGAACAATGGGTTGGCCTTCCTTGTGTGCCAGTTTCATGCTGGGTGAGATTAGGAAGGACAGTCTTAGGTGAGAGGCATCTATATTTTCTTGCGTCTTCAGTGCATTTAAAGCGAAAGTGGATCTTTAAGTACCTAAGAGATTGGATTGCTGTATGTTTAGAGACAGTGATCACAGAATCTTCTCCACCCCCTTGGACATCTGGACTTGCTCAGGGGAAATGCATGTCTTAAAAGGCACAAACCATTCTGGTTCAAGATTACCCTGATTTGATTCTTGCTGGGATTTCAAGTCATCTCCTCAGCCAAGTAGCTGCTACACGGCTTTTGCAAGCAGGCAGATTTGGAAAGCATTATCTCTGGGAATAGACATGAAGCTCTGGCACAGAGTTTGTTCTTCTCCCTAAAGGAGTCAGATTCATGGACTTCTTTTTCCCCCTGGGCACACAGGAGTTTGCCATTCTATTTTTTTCTAACCCAAACTCTGATAGACACATCTCCCCCACCCCCAGTGCTAGGAACCAGCATGCACAGAGGGTATTAAAGCACCTAGATAGATTTTTCCAGTGTCTGTGTTTTTGCAGACATTGGTCTTTTGGCAGAATAGCATACCTCTTGACAGTGAGCCATCTTCCCTCCGCAAATCTGGAGGCACACCCGGTCCTATGAGGTCTTGGGCTTATTGTTTCTGCAGTGAAATGTTAATCTTGATGACCAGCCAAGTAGAAACCAGGACTGGGATCCCTCTGCCTCTATGACTCTTCATAGTTAAGAGCTCAGAGCTCTTTACAAGCATCTTGTTTCTTGTAGCCACTGCATGCCTCCATGACGTGCCTGGCCATGGGCTCTGATCCTGGCCCTGTCTGCTGCTGGTGGGCACCTTTCAAGATCTTTTGAAATGTTCATTAGGTTCTAATGCATTTCCTACTTCTCCTGAGTCAAGGTTGACCTCAAAAGGACAGGATTCCACAAAGATGTGGCAGACACTGCTGCTCTCCTGCTTGGCTCTTTCAAGGCCAGAGTCTAGATGGAGCATTGCGAACATGCTGACATTAGTCAGGAGTCCCAAGAAACCTGAAATTAAAATTAAAAATGTACTGACCTTTCCCCAGGAACAAGGTTGGCTCTCTTTGGACACAAGCCTGGTAGAGCCCTTCATGATGCTAGAATTCAGCCCCTACCTCACGTCTATTCCAGACTGATATCAGTTCTTTAGGACCATCGACTACGAATGTCAGAAAGGACTGAGAACACACGGGGTCCCATTTCCTCCCTTTACGGATGAGGAACCAAAGCCCAGAGAGAGATGAGAGATGAAGTGATTTACCCAAAGAAACCTGGCTCAAAAGGAGGAGGACACCCTCAGACCCAGCTTCTCAATGCTCCTCTGTCCCTCTCCTGACTTACAACCAGTAACTCAGAGTCCTTCTAATTTGTGAAATTCAGATATCATTCCCAAACTCTCGTGTTTGATAGAAGTCACTAGGAAAGAGTTTTCTGTTTCAATGATCATGGTTAGTGTGAACACACATGTCCACATTCCTCTCTCCCAACCCAGCCCCATGTAAGCCAAGGGAAGAAGGTTCAGATTTGGGAAGTGAAATAAGCTGATGTCTCATTCACCTATATTTTTGAAGAATGAGGAAGAACAATGAAAAGAAGGAACAGCAGAATCTAAACCTGTAAACTGCCCTTACTCCTGTGAGAACAGCTTATTCTTTAAAAATCTCAGTGGTCCATCCATCCACCCAGCGACCCCATCTCTTGTTCAGCCATCCCAACTTTCCTGGACGTCTTCCATTCCAGAGGCATCTGATTTCTCCAGGAATTCCCTTTTAGCAGAGCCCATTTTAGCAGGAAACCCTCAACTTTTAAATTCAAGCAGGTATTCCTGTTATTCACTATAAACTCCTTTTTTTGGACCTCTCTCTGCTTTTATCTCAGTTGAGCCACCAGAAGCCAAAGTGTGTTTTCTTCATGCAAAACAGTAGATCAGGAACTTCCTGGGGTGTCATTCTTCCAAAAAATGGCTGTTGGCCTTCTGGCCTCACCTTCCCCCTTATATGAGCCTGGAGCACTGTCTTAGCTGGTCCGTTTTCCTTTGGGAGGCCTCATTGAGGTTTGTCCCCCAAAGCTTACAAAGATCTGGTCTAGAATGTGAATCTTTGTGGTTTTATTTGAACTTTCGAAATCAAGTCTGTAATGTGCTACTGAGGCCCTTGATTCTGTGTCATCCCTGCAAAGGGCCCATGAGTCCCCCCTCCTTTCCCCAACCTCCAGTTCCTAAGAGTCTCTTTCTAATTAAATAGATACTTTTTTTATTCCAATTAGATTATGGTGCTGTTTCTCAAAGAGACCAAGCCCCTGAGTTGAAGATCTTTAAAGGGCTTTATTCCTTTAAAAGGGTACCATTCCATCCCTTTCCAGCCCCCCACCTCCCCACCTCCACACTCTCCACTTACAGTGACACTCCTTCTCTCCACCAGACCCCGACTCAGGCTCCAGAGAAGACTGACCACGGCCCTGTGCCACGACCCAGGCAGGCCCTTTAGTGTGACCTTTCCTGGTGGTGGATGCTCCGTGAAGCGTTGAGTAGCAAAAGTGCTTTGTCTCATCAGAAGTTAGGATGGGTGTGGGTCCTTCCCTTGAAACCCTGAGGCTGAAGAGTGCTCCCTGGTGTCTTCATGGGAGATGGGAGCGTCCAGAATTGGCCAAAGCTGGGGGCAGTTATCTGCCCAGCCAGCCAGCTCTGCGAGAGGGGGACTGCAGCTGTGACCCCTAAGTTAGGGCCATAGGTCCCAAAGCCAATTTGTTTGATATTAATAAAAAATTATAAGTATAATCTATTTTAAAATAGAGTGATAGAAAATGTGATAGAGCTGGAAATGTGGTATTTCTCGATCGCACTGTCCTAACAACACCTTCTCACATGCTTCCGGAGCTCCTTTCCACGTGTACCCATTCTGCCAGTGCACGTATGTGCACCTCCTCTGCATCTTTGCAGTCCGTATCAAACCTTCATTTTTGTATGTCACTATTTGTTTTCTAAACTTAGTCCATGTAATTCCTATGTTCCCTGATGTTCTTAAACATGCCTATCACAGGCATGGCCGGTTGGGGCTGCCTGCAGACCAGCTCGTGGCTCAGAGCAACATGCAGACCTGAGGCTGCTGTCTTTGCTGAGCTCTGTTCCCTAGAAGGGTGCCTGCAGCTCAGCGAAGCAATAAAGGGTACTTGTCCATATTATTATGTTCCTAAGGCTAATCGGCAGGGTGTTTAAAAATAGCTGCCTGCCTTTCAATATGTAACAGCAGAGCTGGAGAACATGGCATGGATGTAAGAAGGTGAATCCAACCGACATATCCGAATCTCTGCAGAAAGAGTTCCGGTACTGATTCTGCAGTAACTCCTGTGTGGCTCTCAGCCCTTTGCCAGTGGCTCTGGCTGTAACGTGAGGGATTCAGCTAGATGACCTCCATGGGGTTTTGTTTTGGGTTGTGGATAACTTAGAAAATATATTTAAATACATATCACAGTAGGATTGTACAATAAAGTTCCACAGACCTGCCAATTGATTTTGACAATGATCATCCAATCTGTTGTTTGTACCCTCACACCTCGATTATCACATTCATTTTCTTAATTTATTATTATAATTCTTAGATTCCTGGATAAAATGTCACTGAGTTTTCTTAGGACCAAAACAAGATGGCTTCCACTAGAGAAAGAAAGGCCAGGCAGGGAACTGGTCCCCAGATGGGTGGCCATTACAACTGCCGTTTCTCCCTGCACCCATCTCATCCCCACGAATGTCCCACTCACAGGTGGTCCTGAGCCATCCTAGCACAGTGCATCCATGCCTCTGCCTCCTCAGGCCCCCAGCATCTCATGAAGAGTCCTTTCCAGACTTCCATCTCATGCCAGAGGGTGGAGGGATTTCCCCCTGGCTTGCCACAGTTGCGTGTGGTTCATTTGCTGGCATTCTTTAGCAGCAATGGCTTGAGCGCCAGTTCTTCAACTTCAGACAGTCGATTCGCCCAGCATCTTGCCAGCAGTTGGCTCAGAATAACAGGCAGCTCTCCATGCTCATCCTTCCCATAGCATTTCAAGCTAACTGTCCATCTTCTTCTAGAGCAAGCAGAAAGGATAAGCTTCTGTCCATCCTGTTCTGTCTTCTGCACGTCACCCTGTGAGTGGAGTCAAGTTCAAGGAACTTCTTTCACTTCTCCAGAGGCTCCCTGGTACCTCACATTCCCAGGGAGATTGCAGCTGTCATTCCATCTGTTCTAGGGGGAACATTCCTGAACCCCGAAAGGCTGCCCTCTTCTCCAGCTGAGCACAGGTCTCACTGGGGCCTACAGAAAGCAGGCCTGGCTTTCCAGGACATGTGCCATTCCAGGCCATTGGGATGGGCCGAAAGGTTGATAGCAAAGGTCTTCATCTATCTTCTGCAGGAAACTTGGTGCTTACATCTTCCACTCACCAGTCGGGTGACCATAGGAAAGAGATTCTGGAGAGTAGAAACTTTGGTCAAGTTGCCCCAAGTCAGGGATGAGCCTTCTTTCCATGGAGCCTTCCAAAGGGCAAGCCGTCTGCTACTGTGTACTGTAAATTCAGAGCTTCAGGAGCCGAGGCCTCCTGTGCTTGGGGGAAAGGTAGCTGAGGAGAAAGGGACTCCTTCTCACCTTTCGTTTACCTTTGATCTGGCTGAACTTAGCTGCCCTTAACTTCTAGTTTGCTTAAGTCCTTATTGCCTTAATAACCACCTAATAAGCAGTCAGAACCACTAGGAGAGAAGCCCCTCCCATGGAATCCATCGCAAGCCTATCCCCAGCCTCCCTAGTGCTGCTATGCCTGAAAAGAGCCCCAGCCCCGTCTCCAAAGCCCAGGGTTCACCTGTTGCTGAAAGAGTCACGTTCCCAGGCTGAGGACAAACCCAGGACTGCTCAGGTGGAGAGATCCCTGCACCCACGTTCACCACTGACAACCCAACTCCATCCTCAGTCTCCACGGCTTCAGATCTGGACTCCGCACCCTCCTCCACCTCCATCTCTCGTCCCAGAGACCCTCCCCCCATCATGCTCAGTGCTGTTCCTGAAGACCATCTAGACTTTTTTGTTCTCTGGAACATTCTACTCACCTTCAGCTGCAGCACATTTCTTCAGCCTCTCCACCAAGCTCTTTAAAATGAAAGGCAGTTACTGTCTTCCCTTGGACAATAATGAATGTATCTCCTGTACGTGCAGACGGTTTCGAGAAGTGGCTGGGTTAAGAAAAAAGAGGGTTTTTGTAAAGCCTGTTTATTTTTTTAAGTCAGTTTTGAGCATTTCTATTTTGCCACCCTTCACATGGTTTTGGGGAACCCAAATTGTATCAAGGTCTCATGCCAAAACAAGCCAAAAGTTGTTTTCTTTACCTTTTTCCTCCATGCACCATGATTTCAATGATTGTTTCGGTGTCATTTTAAATGTTTTCTTGTGACATGTACTGACGATAAAAGTCATCTTGACAAAAAAAAAGATTTATACATGAATCAGAAAGTATTTATTTCAATTTTGTACCTTTCCATTTTAATACATTATAATGTATTGACTCAACGGAGATAATATAAACAGTTCATTTTAATAACATGAGTGTGTATGGCTTTTTCTTTATGCATGGTGGGGGAGGGACAAATAATTTCAGACTGGAAAATTCTGGCAGATGAGGGGCATCCATGATGAGCAGAGGGTGGCCTCTGGCTGGACCAAAAGCATCCTGCACCTGGAAGTTGGAAGCAGCTGGCACTGAGAAGAAGGTGCTAAAGGGAAACTGAGGAGGTAAATGGGTGCTGACATGTCCGGGCATCAGCTGCTTCTCTGCTGACACAGGCCTCCCGCCAGGTAGGAAAAGCCATGAACAGAGCAAAACTGCCCCCTTTTGGAGCATAAATTCAGGCTGGCAATTGGACGTTCCGACAGAGGCCAGGTAGGGGCAACCCCAAGGAAGCTGAGACAAGAAGAAGCTGGAGAGAAAACTCAGTGCTGAAAATGAGGGTCTACAGGTGGGGAAAGGCAGAAAAGTCCTGGGTTGTATTTTCTTGATGTAACATTTTCTTTCCCCCTAATGCCTTTTGCTAGATATTCTGCAAATAAATCCTTGGGGCAAATGGCCTTCAGACCAAGCCCCACTGACATCCAGCAGAGGTTTCTTACTGCCCCATTAGGAGGATTTCTGACCGCGGAATTAGGAGGAACACTGCATGGAATACAAGCATACTCATTCTGGACTCTCCTGGATGGTGACTGGCAGGTGCAGGGAAGACGAGGGAGGGCATATCGAAAGCGACTGTATCCAGACGACTTGATTTAAACATTTTTCAAAGCATATGTGGCAAACAGGGTGGTGAACAGATCTCATGTCATTATTCTTCACTCTTCTCTGCATGCTTGGACCTGTTCCACTATGAAAATGTGTCATTTTGGAAGGAAAGGGAGAAACTATCTGAAAGGAATCCATGTCAGCATGAGCCCTTTCTCCTTGACAGAAGGTTGTACCAAAGTGGGCCTCCTCTGAGGAGAGAGAATAGAGAGAGGAGAGACAGTTTTTATCAAATGGGGTGCCCAGGACTCTGGGAAGAGAGATGACACATTCTCAGCAATCATTGATCTGTCTCCCTCAGTGCTCCTGTTCTCGCCATTCCCCTTCCTCCTTCTCAACATTTTCAACTCAGGATCTTCGATACCTGCCTCCTGGGTATGTCCCCTTCAGGGCAGGCACCCAGAGCCCAGGCTTCTTTGTCAGGAAAGAGAACCCTTGGAGGAGAGAAACACTGAGTCGAAGTAGAGGGGCACCCTCCCTTCCTCAATCACCCGCACCCCATTTTCAGTCTCTCCTGAGAGCATGCATGACCCCTGGGAAGGGGACTGTGACTAGATTCTTTCAAGTTCTAATCCAAGATTGTTAGAAAGGAATCAGTCAACAATTATACCAAATAAATGCCTCTTCCGGCCTGAGAAGGGGCCAGTTAGGGGAGACATCTACCAGGAAAGAAACAGAAAGCCCCCTCCCATCCACCCATTTCCAAATCTCTTTTTCAGACCTCTTATTAAACTGATGAGGAATCTTCTGCCTGCAGAAGGCTCAGCTGTTTAGAGAGAATTTGGGTTCTGCAGAGAAAATCTGGGAAGCTCCTACTGGTTAAACTATTAATAGAATCTTTCCTAAATTGAATTCTCATCAAAGGCAATTAGAGAGGACTCTTCTGAATTCTGGCTCTAAGGGAATTTAGGTCTGAAATTTAAGATTCTGCTTCTGTGCCAGTGTATAATTGTGCTTGTGAATCTGGACTCTGTCTTAGCCTGTCTGGCCTGCTGTAACAAAATACCGTAGACTGGGGGGCTTATAAACAGCAGAAATGTGCTTCTGACAGTTCGGGTGGTGGGGAAGTCAAAGATTAAAGTGCTGCCAGGTTCCGTGTCTGGTGAGAGCTTTCCAGTTCATAGATGGGGTCCTGCAGATGTGAAGAGGCTCCCGTGGGTCTTTTTCTAAGGGCACTAATCCCATCATAAGGAATCCACCCTCAGGGATAATCACCTCCTAATTCCATCGCCTTAGGGGCTAGGATTTCCACACTTGAATTCGGAGGGTACACAAGCCTTCAGATGATAGAAGTCCCTCTTTTCTCTGTGGTAAATGGAGACATTTGGGCTTCCTTGCTTCCTGGTAGTTGGGACTGGGGGGACTATTGTGAGCAAACCCTGTCATCAAGTGAACTGCTGTCCAGTTTGCACTTGCTGGCATGCACACGGCACGCACACGCACACACTCACACACACAGACACTCACTTATAAGCTCCAATACCTGCCTCCTAGGTACATCCCCTTCAGAGCAGACACCCAGAGCTCAGGCTTGTCAGAAAAGAGAATGCCTTGGAGGACAGAAACACTGAGTGGAAGTAGAGGGGCCTCCTTCACTTCCTCAGTCACCTGCACACCACCTTCAGTTTACGTACTTACACACACACACACACACACACACACACACACACACACATGGCTCCCTACTCCCATCAGGCCCCTGGCCCCTGGCCCCAGCCATCTAATCATGCACTATGGAGGCCCATTTGGACACACTTCTAAAGCCAAGGCAAATGGAAGTTGAGCCATCCCTTCCTTTGTGCCCTCTCTTCCTCATCCTGCTTCCTGCTTCCTGCCGGCTCCCTCTCCTGCTTACTTTCTCCCAGGCCTGGACTGATCTCCTCTAAACCCAGGTGCCAGCCCAGTGATTTGAATGATGGTTCCTTCTCAGAACCTCAATGCCAGGGGCAGGGAGAACTCACCCCTGGGTGCCAGGGATCTTCACCTCATCATCCCTGCCCTAAACTCAGGGAGAGGGGCAAAGAATTCCATGTGGCCTGGGGCCTGCCTGACACCTTCTTGGCTGCTAGAACTCTAAGATTAAGGCTCCTGCTGCTTCCTTGTCTTGCGGCCCATCTTCATCCTTAAAAGATGTCTTCCGGCTGGCGCAGTGAGCAGGCTTTTTTTTCCCCTCAGAGTGATGTGGGGCTTACGCACTCCTGTAAGCTCACATTCTTCTAGCTCCGCAGCCCCTCACTTTACCTCCTTCAAGGCCTTTACCTACATTGCTTCAGGGAAAGACCCACCTTCCCTGCCCTCCCACACACGTGCTCGGTGATTGCAAAACTGTGAGGCTAGACTGTGTGCAGGAGAGAGGTAGGGAGGGCAAGGGAAGCCTTGGAGCCTTCGGCCCCCATCGCCTGGCTACAGGAGACACCTTGTCTTCCAGAGCAGCTTCTTAGATCTCCTCGACACCCTCCATTCATGCTGCGGAGGGAGAACTGATCTAGCCCAATGCTGAGTTTCCAGAAGAGGCTTCGGCATGCACGGGTCACAGAAAGAGAAAGTTGGTCTCAGAATGAGGAAGAGAAGAGGCTTCAGAGGCTTCTTCTGTGATGTCATACTTAGGAAAAATATACAGCACAAAGCAATATTTAAGGATTTTTATATGTACATTGAAAAACCCCAACTCTACCTGAATTACACTCACATCTCCTTGTGCGAACTCCCCCCATCCACCTCCTCCCAACAGGGAATGTGGTCTCAGCATCTGGGGAGGAGCTTTCAAAGCTGGCCTAGGAATATGGAAAATCCGATGGATCCTGCCCTCTGCCTGAAAATAACAAGAGACAGAGCGAGAGGAGGAAAAAGAACACTTGGAAAATGTTCTCTTTTCTGGGAGTAGCTAGTCCTGTATGGGTCCCAACCAAGGGCCTAGAATCATAAAATAATATTAGATAACCTTAAGAAAAAAACATATGTTTCTTTGAGAAATCAGGTCTGATTACAGCCCAGACTCCCAGGATGTTTTCTTCTCTCCCTTATTCTCCTACTTGGTGAGGGATGGTCCTGGATTTGCTATTAATATTTAGGTCCAATTATGGCTCCTACCAGCAGAAAACAACCTCACAGTCGGCTGGGTTTAGGCTGGGGAGTGAATCTCCCTGTGGGGCGAATACTACCCCTCCAAGTATCACCTTCCCTGGTAACTCTCAGACCACCACTGTGGTCTTCCCTTCCGGACGCGCGCTGACCTTTCCCTTCCCCGCGCCCCCTCCTTTCCCCTCTCCTCCTCTTCGCCCGCCCTCCTCTGCCCTTGCCCGCGCTCCCCTTCCTGAGCCAGCTCTGACCCTTTCCTTCCCCGCCCTCTCCGCCCCTGGCCCGCGCCCTCCTCCCCTTGCCCCGCCCTTCCCCTCCCTTGCCTACTGCGACCCTTTCCTTCCGTCCTCCCCTTCCCTCCCCGCACTGACCCTTCCATTACCCGTGCTCCCCTTCTTCTCCCCGCCCCTTCCCCGCGCTTAGCTTCCCTTCCCTTCCTTCCAGTGCTCTCTTTTAACCCTATAGGCACAAAAGAGAGGAACTGGAGCTTCCCAAGTGCCCTCACTGAGCATCAGGTTATTTGTCACAGGTGACAAATAACAAGCAGATAAGGAAATAGAAACAGCTGAGCTGCCAGGTGCCTTGCCCCTGCCTGCCTTCCCCCTGCCCTCCTTCCCCCTGCCCGCCTTGCCCCTGCTTGTTCTGAGCTATTTCCGCTCTGGCCCCAGTGGGTTGGCGTTCGGGCCAGACACTGTGCCCGAATCCTCCATTTCTCAGTTTCTGGCCTGGCTCCATCTAGAGGGCGTCTTCTCGTGGCCGCTGCCAAAACCCCCTTCTGCAATATTTTACCGGCTTTTCCAACTAGGCCAAGAGAGATGAATCCCACCAGGCCATTTCCCTGCCCCTTTCCGTTGCCTGGGCATGGTGGCTCAGTCCTGTTATCCCGGCACTTTAGGAGGCAAAGGCAGGAGGATCACTTGAGCCCAGACTTCAAGACCAGCTGGGGCAATATAGTGAGACAGGCTCTACAAAAAATAATTTTTAAAAAATTAGCCAGGTGTGGTGGTGCTGGCCTGTGGTCCCTGCTACTCAGAAGGTTGAGGTGGGAGGATCACTTGAACCCAGGAGTTCAAGGCTGCAGTAAGCTATGATCACACTACTCCAGTCCAGCCTGGGCCGAGTGAGACGCTCTCTTAAATTTTTTTAAAAATAAAAGAAAATGTAGGGCAAGCAGAATGTGGCATTGAAAG